GGTCGAAATCAATACCCATATATAAAAACAAAGGAGAGAAAAATGATTTAAAAAACTATAGAAATATCAGTCTACAAAGTCAGCTTGCTAAAGTCTTTGACATATGTTGCAACAGCAGATTGATTAATTTTCTTGAATCAAATAATATACTACTGAAATTTCAGCATGGATTTAGAAGAAATAAATCTACTATCACTGCCCTAAATGAACTTACGTCCTTTGTTAACTCGTACCAAGAAGGCGAATTCACCAATGAACGCTGCCCTTTCCATCTGACACTGGGCGATCACGTGAACATCATGCTTCGATTTTGTTTTGTTTTACTCTATCTTGGATTTGGATAGACTTTAGTATGTAATATATCAAAAATCGACATCGTTCTGTGATCATGGCTCACAAGGTATTCAAGTAGTCAACTGGTGCGGTTAATACTCGCTTCATTTATACGCGAATTTCTGAATTTCAACAACTTGTCTTTCTTTTTTATATGGACCCTGTCATGATTAACAAATTTCTCGCGTTTTTTCTATCAAAGCTCTTGTTTTTACTTTCACTTAGTTGATGCGGAAGGGAAGTGCCTAAATGGTGAACAAGATCAAAAGAACCCTAAGAGAGCCAGCAGAATTCTCTAGAAACGTGGCGATAAAGGCATCCCTATTCAAAGTTTCTCAATTATGTTGTTAAGTACTTATACGGACTGAATTTTAAATAGGCGAGTGGTTGCGTTTTTGTTCAGGCTTTCTCAAAGTGTACGCTCACCCACATATTCGTTTTATGTCGGAATTAATTCTTGCAGTAGGGCTCAAAACCTTATTACTAATTTAAGTTTTCAAACTCACTTACATACCGCCTGAATATTAATAACTGATGAAACCTTAATTATCGCGATACTTCAAGCGTGTCGAGCAATTTTTAATCGTATATTCATGTTCATGTTGAGAACAACTCATGCGAGACGAGAATAACTCCATGCACATTGTGTATTTTCGTTTGTGAATTTTGTTGGAGTGCACAATCTTGCCTGTATTTGTATAAATAACGAGAACTGCATTCAAGCTGACAAGATCTCAGCAATATATTAATACCAACAGAAATATATCAGTGTAGGTAATGAGAAAAATGCAGGTCGTTGACTTTTTATGTTTTATATTCCAGATGCAGGAAAACTCAGCAATGGGGAATGTTTCTCAATTTTGGTTACAGCAAATGCAAGTTTGAACAAAATAAAGTTGAGTTTAATTCATGCGTTTTTCAAATTCACTTCGAAAAGTATTCAAAGTGATGTTTCAAATGTTGGGTTTTAATATTCAAAGGGATTTGTTTCTGATTCACATATTGGCAACAGCGCCTATATCAAGTTGAAATTATTTATACGTACCTAGATATTCTACTTTAAAGAAGAAAAAGTATCTTTATAAATCAACAATTAAGGCAAAATCTAAATTATAGTTTAATACCACCTCCACAAGTCACATAAACAACAGTTGTTTTGTTATTTATTAATATAGAGTATAGAGGAAGATAGGTTAGGTGCACAAAATGTCATATGTCACAGAATGTCTCTGAACATAAGTAAACAGAACAGCACGCCTCTGAACTATGTCATCTTTATTTGTCTATTACAGGCAACAGATTCATTGTCCTTTATTAGCTATAACCGATGTTGCCAAATGGTGAAATAGAAACGAATCCCTTTAAATGTTGAATACATTATTTCATTCCTCTTTTTTAAGTATTTAAATAATTTTTTAAAGAAAAAGGTTGAAAACTCTTTTATGAAAACTACTTGATTTTCGTCAGGAGAAACATTCCCCATTCTTCAGCATCTCAACCCATCAGTAATGTGCCCTGATATGTTTCAGCATTTTCGTGTGAATATAATTTAGAATTCTAAATCATCAACTGAAACCTTTTCTGTTCTATCATTCACGATGTGATACCTTTGGTGGGTTCAGAGACACGGCGAAAGGTGTGGCTGTCAGAATAGGGACGTGGGCACCGGTCTCTCTCTCTGGGCTCAACAGTTGGTGTAACAGGTTGAGAATCTTGAAATAAACTAAGAGTTATACGTTGATACTAGTTATTAATGCCTAAACCCCATCTATAACTAAACATTTTCAACAATCAAACCTATATTAAGTATATCTACAGTATATGTACGTGGACTGATCGATAAAAAAGGTGAATGTTCAAATTTCGCGGGCTAGGGGAAGACCGGGTAATGGAAATCAGCGGGCAATGATAGTCACCAACATATCTCCAAAAGTATACCCGCTACTGCCGTCCCCGCCCCGCTCTGCTCCCCAGCTAGGGCAGTGAGCGCGCCACCCCAGTATTGCAACGGTCTAGGGGATGACAGGTGTGTTTTGTTTTTACGGCTCGCCGATGTAAATTTGTATAGACGCAAAATAAACGGTAAGTATTCTAATATACTAAATATTAAAATACTTGTGGGTAATGAGGATCGGGTGACCCCCATTGCCCGGTAATGATCACGATTTTCCGCAATGTAAAGGCATACTATAATTTTGTTATTCTGCTTTAGATGCCGAAAGTACGAGTTAGAACCACCACAAAAGCTTACTGGTCAACTGACACTTTGAATAAAGCATTAAAACTTATTGAAGAAGATGGATTTTCTATACAAAAAGCTGCTAAGGTTTCGACGTTTCGTTTTTTGGACCACTTGAAGGGGCATATAAAAAAGAGTGCGACTTATACATGAGAAGTCACCTCGCAGAAAAGATCACAACTTACGAAGTAGCATCCTTATTGAGCAAGGCATTCAATAACGTTGCGTCCATTAGTAAAGGAGAGTCGGGATTTAGACCTACAGTTATTTATCTAATGAATCTCGACGTATTTTGTGATAAAGATTTTCTACCAGCTGAATTGCTCCGATCAGAAACTGCTGTCATTCAAAACGTTGATGATTCAGTTGCAATTGATAGCCCAGCGCCAGGCCTAGAAAGCTATCCAGTACGTGGCACATCAAATGCAAGTTAATTCACTGCTACCACCGACACCACCAAGAACTTCTAGCGCCGTCGATTGTCTAGCCCCTGGCCCATAAGTGGAAAGTGTTTCACTAGCACCCGGTCCAGTATATTCGCCAGTCTCTGGCACATCAAAACACGTTGCTCCAGCAGTCTCTAGTTTTGATATTGTGTCGAAATTAATTAGGTTGCCGGAGAAAAACAATGCCCACAATACTAGACATAGACACCAAAAGCAGCATGCCAAAATTTTAACATCCACGCCAATAAAAGAAAACTTGATATAAAAAAAAACTTGATAGAAAAAGAGAACAAGGAAAGTAAAATCGTCTGTCCAGCCAAGGATAAGGGAAACCGAAAGAGTAAAGAGGAAGGTTCTACATGAATCACATGATACATCTGTTTCAGGCGTGGCTACTGATGATTTATGCCAAGACGATGAGCTAGATGATGCTGACGACGCAGGGAATACGTGCTTAATATGCAACGAATTCGGCCGAAATAATGATGTTGGGTACAAGTGTACCTCATGTGGTTTATGAGCTCACGCAGATTGTATGGGATGGGAGTCTGCCTAGGGTTATGTATGCGATTTGTGCTATTTCAAATTATACACTGTTTTCAAATTTGAATACTTATTTCGAAGAAAAAAGAATTTTGATGAAATTTCTGTCACTGTCTGAGATGTCTGAGGACCACATTATTCATATGAAAGAATGCGTTCACAAAACCGCATGTAAACCATTTAGTGAAAATCTCAGTCACAGATCATAAATCATGGTACGTGACATAATGCTTCAACTACTGTTACAACATTTCCATTGAAATTTCCATTGACACTATCGCCACTCTGACTGGATCCCATCGAATTTAATTTATTTCGTAAGAAAAGATTAAAAAAAAAATCTCAATCCGGAAAATGTATTTTTCAGTAGCGATAAGATGGACAAGTTAAAGCCAGAAAGCATTTTTCCCAAGAAATAATATAATTTGACGTTTATTGTTGACAGGACTTCACATATGACATGACTTGACATATGACATGACGTATGAACCAATAGAGCTGATCACAAAATATATGTGACAGCTGATTGAAAAGTAAAAATGTTTGTTGTGGTGGCTACAGGCTCTAAATTATTACTGAGTGAGTTCTTTGTTATTTGTTAAACAAACTCTCAATTGCCTGGAATAATCTTAACCATGCTAATAATAGACTCTTTCTCATAATCCAAAAAGTGTTGGACTGTTACATAACTTAACCTGGTTGGTACTTTCAGAACCACAACCTGGAATTGTGAATATCGTCTGGATACAAGCGAATAAATATAGCACCGATGATAAAGCGTACAATTTGGCTAGTTTAAAAAGGGGAACCGGTGGTAGATCAAGTTTCAATGGAATTGTTGCAACTGTTTTTGGAGCTACGGGCTTCATGGGCCGATATGTTTGTAATAGGCTCGGTAAGATAGGAACACAGGTAAAAAAACTATATCAGTTCGGGCCCTTACAAATGTATATGTCTACTTAAGTAACACTTCAATCAATCAAGGTATACTTGTCGACAGAACAAGATTCTTCTTCACAAAGTTTACAGTGTAAAGTTATCGTGTATAATGTATACACATATGACATTACTTAAATATACTGTATACAGACAACTGAATATGTACACTCACTTGAAGAATTGAATGAAATCAATGAATAAACGCATATATGTTATTTTCACCATTAGTTTTTATGACCAAATATCAATTGTCTCTTCGATTTTGAAATAACAGATTTTGTATATAAATGAGAAGTACTATGTAGCATTTAGTGCAGTATTGAACACGTCTGTAGAAGCAATTCAATAATGTGTATGTCTGCTTCTTCATTTTTTAGCTCATCATTCCCTACAGAGGTGACAATTATGATCCGTTCAGACTAAAGCTTGTGGGAGATCTTGGCCAAGTATATTTTCATCACTATCATCTACAAGATGAAGAATCCATAATGAAGTGTATCAAGTATTCCAATGTCGTAGTTAATCTTGTCGGTAGAGACTGGGAAACGAAAAACTTCAAATTTGATGATGTTCACGTCGATGGAGCTCGCAGGTTGGCCAGGTTGGCAAAAAAGAGTGGTGTGGAAAGGTTCATTCATTTATCTGCTCTGAATGCTTCTGAGAATCCCGAAACTGTAAGTTTGCAAAAAAAGAGAGAGTATATTTCTCATTGTACATTCCTAGGCCGGAATACTCAAAGGAGGCTCCAAATTCTTAGCCAGTAAAGCTAGAGGAGAGAAGGCAGTACTAGAGGAATTTCCAGAAGCTACAATATTTCGGCCTGCCGATGTGTATGGACAGGAAGATAAGTTTGTGAGGTATGTTTATTTGAGCAAGCAAGTTCCATAAAAATCTCATGTAATTATTCACATGAAAGATTAGATTCGCAGTATGCAGGGGAATAAAAAAAACTAAATTGAAAGAATGCTGCTCGACTGGAATTCGAACCCAAATCTCGTATTCTCAAGACAGGCATATTTATTAATACCATGGAAGCTGTCACAAAGCAGAATAATAGCCAAATAATATCTTCAATTCAGTCTTTTGTGGTGTTAGTGCAAAAAGAATGAAATTTGTTGATTCCGATGTATTCAACAAATAAACTTTCTTTTTTTATCTGTTTTACTGTTCTAAGCTGTTGACGAATTTTTCTAAACTCAAAATAGTTCTACTAAAAAAAATACTTTTTCAAATTCAATTCTATAATTGATATCCAATATATTCTCTTAGATTAAACGCACCAATTACCAGATTGTATAATTAATTGAGCCATTTTGAATGAAAAGTATTAAAAAAAACACATTAATACAAGTGTAAAACAAACAGAAACATATTAATATACTAAATTTGAGACAAATTCCAAAGCTTATGCCATATTTCAACATAAGCATGCAACACTATACATCATTGTGTTATCTAAGGCTTTTGATAAAATAATATCAAATGAATTATTTGTAAGATCTCATGAATTATTTGTAAGATCTCATGAATTATTTGTAAGATCTCATGAATACTTTGCTTGGCAACTCTCCTGAAGACTTCAGGAAAATAATGTTCGTAGGGAGACTACAGCTAGTCAGGTTTCATTTCATTAATTTATTTGTCACTAAAAAGTTACATTTAGCTCATGGAGAACAATGATCAACAAAATTGAAATACCCTGTGAAAATTTATAGATACTACGCCCATTCGTGGAGACGAAATGGTCAATATTTCCCACTCTGGCATAAAGGAGAAAAAACCGAAAAGCAACCTGTATTTATCGGAGATGTAGCAACAGGAATAATGAACGCCATCAAAGATCCTGATACAGCAGGAAAAGTTTACCAAGCTGTTGGGTGAGTTTCACTAAACAATTAGCAATTAGGATGTTTCAAAAGTTTTGTCCGTTTTTTATGACCTTGTTCGCACGTTTCACAAATCAACGTCAAAAATTAAACGAATAGAGCATTGAAGTTCTGCCTCAACCACCATACTCCCCAGACCTCTCACCAATTGACTACCATCTTTTCAAGCACTTCGACAACTTTCTCATCCATAAAACCTTCGCTAATCAGAACCTGGCAAAAACAGCCTTTGTCCACTTTATCGAATCCCAAGTGAATAATTTTTGTGCTGATGAATTTAATCAACCTATGTTACGTTGGCGATCATTCTAATAGAAATAGAGTAGAATAGAAATTGAACTGAATACGTATTCATTGAGATATATATTACACATATCATAAAAAGGATAAAACTTTTAAAACAACCTAAATCAGGCTTGTACAAATCTCTTTTATTTTCACCCATGACCAATAGAGTCTCTCTGGGTAAATGCTAATTCTAATTATTTTCCAGGCCTAAGCGCTACCTCCTTTCCGAACTGGTCGACTATTTCTTCAGAATAATGAGAAAAGATGACGAATGGGGATTTACTCGTTATGATATGCGTTATGACCCCTTCTTCCAGCTCAGAGTAACTCTGACAGAAAAATTATCGTTGAACTGGCCCATCGGCTACCTCCACTGGGAGAAGATTGAAAGAGAGCATTTATCTGATGATGTAAAATCTGACGTTCCTACTCTGGAAGATTTGGGAGTCAATTTGACGACAATTGAACAGCAGATGCCTTGGGAATTCAAACCCTGGACTTATGGAATATACAGAGGTCTAGATCCTGATGAGCCACAGGCTCCTGCTTCACCACCCAGAACTGTCATTTGAAATGAACATTTTTTTTTTGAAGTCTTGTAGAATAAATATTAAATCCAGTGAATTTAGATGAATTTCAGAACACAATTTTCATTTAGCAAAATGGTTTATGGACTCACTTAAAACATTGTTTTCATTGAAAACCATAAAGCTGCTGAAAAAAATTGAAATTTTCAATACAAGTTTACAATTATGAAGACTGTCATTGAATGGGAGTGCAAACCAAAGTTCTTTTTTCGTTTGAATAATTCTTAGTTATGTGAAAGCTATTTTCCAGGTTTCTTAGCTGGGATCGGCAGGGTTTTATGCCTGACGTTTCGTCTACTACTGCGGTAGATATTATCAAAGGCGATGTAGTAACTGTGGCAATGTCCGAATTAGTGCTAGAGTTGTTCCGATTGCGGTGTTGTTCCAACTGAATATTATTGTTTGGACTAAACAACAAATCAATAGCCTGCCTAGTGCCAATAGTGAAAATGTATACCCACCAAAGATCAACACTTTAAAACAAAGTGATAATGTCGTTTTCACATAGTGAATTCAGTTTTCAAAGACTAAAAGAAAACACCGAAACCTTTTGATTTATCCTCCTGCGACGGGATATCACTACGGCCCGCGATTGTTATGTGTCGCAGAAAGAAGCGCATGCGTAGACAAGAGAGAGATGTAGGGGGTTTCTCATTTTTGTAATACTCCTTAGAGTAGATGTTTCGGCAACTTGGTTATTCAATGCTGGTTTTAGACAACCTGAAAAGATAATGTGGGAATATTCCAACAATTGATAGCATATCAGTAATATAACAACAGGATTCCAGCGCAAAATCCCATGTATTTTCTTATGGCGCTTCATTCTGGCGTTTTTTTGACCTCAGGCTCAGTTTACACGGAATCGACAAAGCTCCGAGCCTCGTCTCTGCCAGACGTCCATTCTGTGTGAATTGGGTCTTAGACTTTCAGAGCCCACTCCTTCACTTTTGCCGTCATTAAGTCGACCAATACAACACCGATAGGAGCGCAAAATCCCATGTATTTTCTTATGGAGCTAAGCTTTTTGCAATTTTTAGGTAAAACGGGAGTGGAATGAGTATCAGAGAGATTCAAAGAGCGTGGGACTCTGCCCTCTTAGTACTCCGCCTCACCCCTCGGGCCCCCTTGTCACGTTCCAGTCACGTGGTTCTAATTTAAAAAAGTTTAGCTCCATAAGAAAATACATGAGATTTTACGCTTGTACCGGTGTTGTTCATCTACTGGTAGTTTGAATTTCCCGCTGTACGCGCATTGGTTGACTGAATGACGGCAAAAGTGAAGGAGTGGGGTCTGAAAGTGTAAGGACCAATTCACACAGAATGGACGTCAGGCAGAGACGAGGCGCGGAGCTTTGTCAATTCCGTGTGAAGTGGGCCTGAGGAAGATTAAAACTGCAGTTTTAATTAAATTAATTATTAATTAAAACTGCAGTTTTAATCTTCCTCTTTGACGATGATCACTTGGTGATCGAAACACGTGTCAAAGGGTTAAAAATAACGATTTGGTGTTGGGAAAAAACTCCAGTAATATTCTTTACTACACCAAAGGTTCCAAACAGTGCATCATAAGGACTTGAGACCTATTAATATTTTACCGTCACTCTCAAAAGTAATCGAAAAAGCAGTTTATGAACAAACGTATACCTTTGTCAATAATAACCTTATTATTCCCATCACGCAGTCTGGCTTTAGACAAAATTATGGTACCACAAGTGCTCTTTCTAATATTAATGATGGTATTATACAATCATATGATAAGAATGAAGTAACTCTTTTAGTTTCATTTGATTATAAAAAAGCATTCGATACTATGAACCATGCTTTACTATGTGCAAAACTTTGTTATTACGGATTCAATAAGAAAAGTCAATCTTTTGTCAAATCTTTCCTCAGTAATAGAACACAGCATGTTCTAATCAATAATAACTCATCATCAGAAATGAACGTAATACATGGGGCACCTCAGGGCTGTATACTTGCACCTCTCCTATTTATTATTTACACTTCTGATTTTTCCAAAATACTGAAGAATTTTCAAATGCATACCTATGCTGATGACACCAATCTGATTTTTTCCGCGAAAATTGATGAATTTTTATCTGTTGAACATTTTTGAATAATGATATAGATGACCTATCGAAAACATCAAGAAATCACTGTTTGAACATCAACCCAAATAAATCATCAGCCATAATTTTTGGTAATAAGAGGGACCGGAGTAGGGCCATAGATAATTCCTCAATTTTTGTCAATAATCACAAATTGGATTATAGCGATAAAATAAAATGCTTGGGGTTGAAATTAGATTGCAATCTGAGATTCATTAGCCATATTAACTCTTTGATTCCGAGAGCATATGGTTTACTAAAACATCTATACCCACACGGACACTACTTGACTAAACATCTGAAAATACAACTATATGATACACTTATTTTATCAATTTTCAACTACGGAAACCCCTAGAGGAAACCCCAGAACCTCAAAATATTGTATTTCATATGATTCAGGATTTCGCGCCACTAAAAATCACTAAATACACATAAAATAGAAGGCACTATGGCAAACTCCAATAACTTTTTGTAAATCAATCATTTCGGTGTCTAAAACTTCTATATTGGGTGACGGCTAACCCATGAAAACTGTAACAATAATAATGATGAATATATCAAACCACTCTTTTATTAGTATTTTTTATCAAGTACATAATGATTACTGAAACAAAAAATTATTTTTTCAGATAGGGATTAGCCCAAAAATGCTCATTAATCTTTACAAATATAATGAAAAAAAAACATTTCTAATACTTTGATACCATCATCCCTCAAATTCAATTGCACATAAAAGCAAAATATTGATATAAACAATTGTATAAAAAATATGATCAAATACTACATATAACTAATTGAGGTGTTTTTCCCTGAAAATTCAACTACTTTAGATGATTATATCGATAATGAAACATCCACACACAAAATTATAAGTTACAATACTAATCCCCTCCATTAATTTTGAAGGTTCAAGAAAAGTCTTTGGTAAACACATTTTTCAACACTCGAGTGTATTTGTTCAATCACTATCACTGTTAGCACCATTCAAATAGTTTTGATGTGATTTCAGACCTTCCTGAAGCTGAAGAACATGCTCTATAGGTTCTGGCTTCCCATCTTTACCTATTCTGCAGGGTTTAATTGAACCAGATTTTAATAAGTCGTCCATTAGTTTCACCAGTTTCATCGCCTCGTATTCTTTCTAAAAAAGCAAAATCACATCAATTTCACAGCAGACATTCAAATAAATATGTTGAACATGTGAAACAGGTATTAGAATTTTTTTCCAGGTAATGTATTTTGGGAAAAAATCCAATTCACAAAATTAACTTGAATGAAATGTCGATACTAATTTTCAGTACTTTACGGTAAGCTGTATTTATATTATCTTTCTGAATGAATCACTTTTATAACCAGTTTTATTCAATCGATATCAAGTTTGGTGTGATTTTAGACCTTTTTGAAGCTACAGAACATTGTCCATAGCTTCAGGCTTACCATCTTTACCAATTCAGGAGGGTTTTATGGGCCATACTTCATTAAGATGTCCTTCAGTTCAACCAATTTCATCGCCTCATACTCCTTCAAAAAGACAAAATCAGATGAATTTACTGAAAACGACATACATTGAAATTTGGAAAAAAATAAATTTTGTCCAGGTGACCCATTTTGAGAAATATTTTGATTTATGAAATTGCATCTAGAGAACTGTTTTTTCAGAAGTAGTAAAAGTTAATATGTTTTTTGCCAAATTTATCTTATCAACTTATTGAGATAAACTACCAAGTGACCTCAAATAGAAACATTCAAAAAGTTTTAGTGTAAATTTGAAAAAATACATCCTAATTCTAAATTAGTTTTGTTCGATGTCACAAATTTATGCTTGGAAATGAATTTGTGAAAATCGAACGAAAATAATTCTAAATTAGTTTCGTATGATGTCACAAATTTATTACCAAGCATTTCTCCAGAAGATTCTTAGAATTAATTCATTTGGATATCCTCTTCAATAGGAATGGTTGGGAATAAATTTGTTCATTGTCTCAAATTTACTAGATACCACATGCACCAACCCCCAAAATTGCAAATAATGTTCAGATCTTCATCTCACGAACCATTATGTAGTATAATACCAGAATCAACCAAAATATCCATGTAGGAACCAAAAATAAGAGGTGTACTGAAACATCTATATATCCTGCAGGAATGTTGGCTTTCAATAATATAGATCATGGTATCAAAGATTGTAATTCAATAGTCCAATTCAAGGGAAGGTTGAATTGCAGTGATTTTGATTTTATTTTATTTTACTGTTATTTCTTGAGTTCAATAACTTCATTACTATTCCAAGATCTGGTGATAAAAAAAATGTGGAAAATTATCTCTTCACTTGCAAAAATTTTTGATTCATTAGTTAGTGATCAGTTAAAATTTTATTGGAGGAACGTTTAATAAATAATCAACATGGATTCTCACAATATAAATCTATTACCAACTTGATGATTTTTAAATACAAAATATTGGATGTTTTGGAAAGTAAAGGGCAAATGGATACAGTGTATACGAATTTTTCAAAAGCTTTTGATCGAGTAGACCACAATATCTTATTGAAAAAATTAAAGATATTTGGATTTTCTGACTCAGCTGTAACATGGCTCAGAAGTTTCTTATGTAATCGAACCCAACAAGTTAAAGTTGGAGGCGTTACATCGGTTATAATTCAGGTGCCATCAGGGGTACCTCAGGGTTCTCACTGCGCTCCTATGTTATTCAATATCTTTATTAACTACATTGTTGAATGGTTCCATCATACTGATTTTTTGATGTTCGCAGATGATCTCAAAGTTTTCATGCCAATAAGATGACTATATGAGATGACCTAGATAGATTGGTTACACGGTGCTCCGAGAATAATTTACAGTTGAATATCGCAAAATGCTGTTTTATAAGTTTTTACAAAAGAAATAAAAGAAATTGATACTTCTTATGTAATTAATGGCCATGGATTATCTTATGTTTCGACTGTGAAGGATCTGGGTGTTTTTTTTGATGAACCACTTCAATTTTTAGACCACTTGAACTATATTGTGGTAAAGGCGGCAAAATGTCTTGGATTTATTCTACGACATGGTAAACATCTGCCCCTTCAAATCTTAAGGATAGTTTACTTGTCTCTGGTAGTATCAATATTAGATTATGGCTCAATGATATGGTCTTCATTTTATGACAATCACAATCTTACTCTTGAAAGAGTTCAAAACAAATTCCTAAGATTTTGTGCTCATAGAATGAGTATACCTGTTATTGACCATGATTATAGCAACATTTTAGAAATCCTTAATCTCAATCTGTTGAGAAAAAGGAGGGAAAACTTTGATCTAATGTTCATATACAAGTTACTGAATGGCTTAATTGTTGCTCCTGAAATTCTAGAAAATATTAATTTCAATGTCCCAAACAGAATTTTAAGGTCCAGCGATTTGTTTCACTTACGGTTTCATTCTACAAATTATGGGTTACATAACCCCGTTGATCGTACACTTCGACTTACTAATGAAAGAAAATTGAAAGTAACTGGTATATCTCTCAGCAAATTCAAAAACAATCTCTTAACTGTTGTATTATGATATGTATTTTATAATAACTTAAGTTAATGTAATGTAGTATATTACTTTATTATATAATTGTTAATTTTATTCTCAAATGGGAGTGATCCCGTAAAATAAATAAATAAATAAATAAAAAATTTGGTTATAGTGTACAATTCCATATTTTTGGGTCTATTTAATCAGTCGGTGAAGAACTGCTTGCATTCATGATCGAAAAGTAGTATTATGTAGTATTATGATATGTATTTTATAATAACTTAAGTTAATGTAATATAGTATATTACTTTATTATATAATCGTTAATTTTATTCTCAAATGGGGGGTGATCCCGTAAAATAAATAAATACTTTTCTCTTACCTTTGTTGCCCACCTATGTGTAAACATTTCATATGAGTGGTTGAAGTTTATTATTTGTGAATGTAACCAGTCATATATATGTATATATTTGTAATTCATTGTTTGAATATTTTGACATTAGCCTAATGATAGTTAGGATCACACATACTGTATATTAGCTTATGCTAAATGAAGGAATTAATAGTACCCAGCTATGTAGAAAAATTTTGACATAATAAAAACTCGCTATGATCAAAAATGAAAGTAACAAAATGATGTTTATTGATTCAATGACCTCCTTTTGATATCCCAGTTCAGTTCAGATGGTTGAGATTACTTACTTGTTCTTCGGACATGTTCTTCATAGTGCTCTCATGCGGAGGCTCAAAACAACCAGAGACCGGATTAATGCCGTGTTTGTGATCAGCGTACTCTTCAGTCTCGCTGTTTTCACTATCTGTACTGTAATTGCTCTCACCAATATCACGTCCTCCGGCTAAAAGGCCTCGCTGAGCTAACAAACCTGCAGCGTTACCGTATCCGGCATATTTGACCAATCTCGTAACTGAAAATTAGATCAACTAGTAAATTAAGAAGAGACATTACGATTCAAATGTGACCGAGACATTTTTACACCAAGAAAGAATCCAAAGACATGATGTGAATATGTACTTCCCAATTCGCAGATAAAAATCTTGAATCGACATTTATCGAGGCCATGGGAGTTTTGCAAATTTCATAAAAAATTTTAATAAAAATCAGATCCAGTAGAAATCTTACAGGCGAGAGAAATATGAAGATAATTCAATTTTTTCATGCACAAGTATTTCGGTTTCTATATTTTTTGTACTCAATTTCTCTACTCTCAGGTTTCAAATCTGTTAATATTTTTTTAGAATGTCCAGAGTCCAACAACAAAATACATTGTTAACCACAGTCAAACAATGGAATCATCTAGAAGACTAGTTATAACGTATGTCTTATATATTTTTGTTCAGGACATTTACAAATGTATCAGCATCAGAAAACTTAAAATTATTCATTTTGCTAGTCAACATTTTTTCCTCATTCAAACTGGTTCTACATGAAATTAAATGGTTATTAAAAATAAATAGTTTCTTTGGCTGCAGGTTGCAAATTGAAATGTATTCTATTCGAGTTCACAAAAGGTTATTTTTCAAATTTATGCTTGATCTGTTTCATCTGAAACAACCATTTACATAACCTCTTCTGAAAATATACCCTTTTCAATTTGAACAAGATTCCTACAGCTGGGATTAACCATTAATTTTCTATCTGATATTTCCCAAAGCAAGCATTGAGGATCTTTACTATTCAATATTTTAATAATAACCTATTTACCCACATCATTGACTTATGACTCGAAAGGATTACTTTTCATAGATTATTTTAAATTATATGATCAGATTGATTACTTAGCTGTACAAGACTTCAATCTCATTTAAACCAATTACCTGATAGGTGTCTTACAGCGGCGGCTCGCCAGAGGAGGCAAGGGAGACTTAGCCTCCTCATAAAATTTGAGGCTCTTCATCGCAATAAATTAAAAGATATTGACAAATAATTATAATTATTTTTTTTTAAATGCTTGGGTATCATTACTATCAACACTATCACTCACTACGTAGTACGTACCACACTGTATCCTGCATCATCAAAACTCAAACGCACCGCCCATGAACGAATAACGAATAAACCATCAACCCGAAATAATCAATGCCATACGTTGCAAGGGAGCCAAGCCTCCGACCGCTTTAAAGAACACAGGCCCACGAGACCGATCCAACCAGCGACATACGTCCCGATTTGTAATTTCAGTTGCAGAAATTATAGCGTTAGAGGAGGCTAGCCTCCAGTTGGTCTCCGTTAGTTTGTTTTTTATTCAATTATACGTACGGGATGCCGTGACGGACCGGGACTGAAAAATATTTCGTTAAATCGTTTTAGTGTTTCTTGAAAATATTTGTTATTTGTGTATAAAACAGGCAGTATTGTATTATAGCAGTGCTTTTTGGTAATTAAAGTGTTTTCTTTCAATTTCAAGGTGTTTTTGGTTTTCACTTTAAGTTTTTTTTTTCATTTCTTATGGATAAGTTCGACGAAATTATTTCTGGCGATATAGTCGATTGGTTGCTGACAAATAATTTCAAGTCTTTATCTAATGATAATAAATTTTACATTATTGAAACTCTGGGAAGGCCTCAACCAAATTTGATTTCAATTAAAGCGTAAACAAAATATAGCAATCGATATTACGATTTATTTGGGTTCCCAAAAATTAGCTTTTCGTGGACACGATGAAACTGAAGATTCGATTAATCGCGGCAATTACAAGGAACTTTTACTGTTATGAGGCAAATATGATTCACAATTTGGCACTTTTTTAAACGGTAGCGTTTTTTCGGGCACCTCAAAAATCATCCAAAATGAGCTTATAGACAGTGTGGCATATATTATTAAGGAACATATAAGCCAGGAGATTAAAAGTGTTTCTTTTTTGCATGGAAAATTGATGAAACTACCGATATTACCTGTAAATCACAACTTTCAATCGTTTTTAGATATGTCAAAGATGGTAATGTGGTAGAACGTTTCATGGATTTTCATGACTTTAGCCTACCCTGTTCTCCAATGCACGAGCCGTCACTGGTGTGTAATGAATTGCTTGGATCCTAATTTAGGTAAATAATCATCTATTACCTTTGAATATTGTGTCGACTCCCTGCCTTTGAACTAAGCTGAGAAAGTTAAAGACCTTGGTATTATGTTTGACGGAAAAGTGACATTCGAAAACGTTATTAACAGTATCACATTCAAATCACTAAAACTTTCAGGCTTTGTATCTAGGATCAGTGAAGACTTCTCTGTTGATACAATGAGAATTTTGTATTGTTCACTGATGAATTCGAACTTAGAATATGCATCTATTGTGTGGCCTACTTCTTAATGGGTCTATAAAATACTTTTGAAATCCTCCATTTGAAACTTTGAAAAACGGGCGAATCCAGACTTTTTGTTTCAATGTTGTTAGCAAGTTGTTATTATTGACCAGAACTTCTCAACATTATTAATTTTAGAGCGAGACAAAGGGACGATAATAGTATTTTTATTGTACATACAGATTAAAGAAATTATGAATTCAATAGTCCATTGTCATGAATTTCAAGAGAGTCTAATGATTCAGGAATGATTTATTTTACAAAAAAGATTGAGGCATTCAAAAGATACGTTTTTAATTTTTAGTTCAACATTTCGAGTTTTCTTTTCAATAATGTATTTTTACATATTATCAGGATCAGTGACGGCTCGTGCATTGGAGAACAGGGGAGGCTTAAGTCATAAAGACTATATACACACAGAAAAGCACGCCGGAGGCGCGAAAATTTTTTGGGGTACCGCACCTATTTAAAGCAAAATACGTAATATTTACATAAATGCAAACAAAAATTGTGTATTGCCGAAAATTATACGTATAAAAATGACCATTGACCATTATCTTTGAGTTATTTAATATAAATCATTTTAAATTTTTCATTTTTAAACATTAAATTTAATAAATCTGAAGGAGACTTGCAATTTTGAAACATTTGAGGGTCGCTGTACATTACGATTAATTCATTTTTCAGTTGAATAGCATCGAAAAATGGGTACTGAGCTATTAAGCCGTTATAAAGTTTTTGGGGAAAATCTTTGGTATACAACGAAAATTTTTCAAACAACAACAAATCAAAGTAGTTTCATTTAAGTAAATCTTCAAATCTAACCTTCATTTGCATTAGGAAGGTGTCCATTATTTCATTATAAATCTGTTAATAATTTTGTCTCAAATCGAGTAAGTCTGAATTGATTTTTCTTTTTTTCGGCGCCGGCGGTTCGAGAGTTAAATCAATTGATTCGAAACTATTATTAAAAAATATATCGTTATTTCTAAAGTTCATCAAAATTTCTGTTAAATTGTTTAACTGTTGTTTTGAGTAATTAATATATGTTGATTTATTTTGAAGAATTGAAAAAACAACATCGGTATGTTCAAATATTAATTTAAATATTTCTAACAAGAAACAAAACTTGTGATCACTGTTTAGGATAAAATCAAAGACATCAATCAATTTGTCTTTGTATGCACTGAAATTACTGCTCTAGATGTAGAATTCCAAAGCGTAGCAGCAAAAGTTGGCATTCGTCTACCACATATTTCATTTAAAACATGGCTTCTTTTGGTGGATTCTGAAAAGAATGTCGAAAATCCAGACAAACTCGAAAAAAATACGCGGCAATCTTTTATGTTGTTGCACGCTTTACTTAATACTAAATTTATGGCATGGGCATGACAATACGTAAAGTGCATGAGGAGCTATGGACTTTATTTTAGTTTATAAACCATTTAAATGGCCGGCCATGACCACAGCTCCATCATAGTTTTGCGCAATTAACTTTTGCCTAAAATTATAGGTGTCACACGTACGAATTAAAAAATTAAACAAATCGTCAGCTGTGCGCCCAGATGAAACATCATGAAAACCCATAAAACGTTCTACCACATTACCATCTATGACATATCTAAAAACGATTGAAGGTTGTGATGTACAGGTAATATCGGTAGTTTCATCAATTTCCCATGCAAAAAAAACACTTGCAATCTCCTTGCTTATATTTTCCTTAATAATATATGCCACACTGTCTATAAGCTCATTTCGGGTGGTTTTCAAGGTGCCCGAAAAAACGCTACCGTTTAAAAAAGTGCCAAATTGTGAATCATATTTGCCTCATAAAAAGTTCTTTGTAGTTGCCGCGATTAATCGAATCTTCGGTTTCATTGTGTACGCGAAAAGCTAATTCTTGGGAACCCAAATAAATCGTAATATCGATAAGTCTTTTTATATTCGACCGATTTTCCCTAACCTGATTATTAAAAGAAATTATGGCTTCTTTTTGAGCTGTATCTGAAGCTGTTGCTATATTTTATTTGCAAAACAATTTTAATTCACAAGACGAAAATATATGCTCCTTAGATTTAAAATGTCTTTCTGTAGAACAAGGTAAATTTTTCAAAATGGAGTATCTTATTTTGAACCACGTTTGGTATTTGGTTTGTACAGAAAATAAAACACAGGGCCAACAAAAAAGTTTTTCTCGTTTGATGGAGCCGGTTAACCAATCGCATTTATCGTACCAACTAATATTAAATCCTCGATTTTGTCGATTATCTGACGCTTTAATTGAAATCAAATTTTGTTGAGGCCTTCCCAGAGTTTTAATAATGTAAAATTTATTATCATAAGATAAAGACTTAAAATTATTTGTCAGCAACCAATCGTCTATATCGTCAGATTTTTTTATTTCGTCCAACTTATCCATAATAAATGGAAAAGTGAAAACCTGAAAACACCTTGAAATTGAAAGAAAACACTTTAAAAAAAACATTAAAAATATTACCAAAAAGCACTGCTGTTTTATGCATAAGTAACAAATATTATCAAGAAACATTAAAACGATTTACCGAAATATTTTTCAGTCCCGGTCGGTCACGGCATCCCGTCCGAATAATTAAATAAAAAACAAACGCAATCGTACACTAACGGAGACCAACTGGAGGCTAGCCTCTTTCTCTCTCTATTTTGGATGGTCGTTGCTTCCTATCTTCAGGCGCATGTGACCAATGCTCCTCCTGAGGAGGTGAAAGAAAGGGGACCATCCCTCCCACCCCTGTTGACTTATAGTTTGATATGATTATGTGTCACAAAATAGACGAGAGTTTTGATAATACCGAAGTGTAAAGAGCCAAGTATCTAACGCTATAATTTTCGCAATCAAAATTACAAATCGGGAGGTATGTCGCTGGTTGGTTCGGTCTCGCGGAGCTTGTGTGTTTTAAAGTGGTCGGAGGCTTGGCTCCCATGCAACGATTGGCATTTATTATTTAGGGTTGATGGTTCATTTGTTATTCGTTCGTGGGCGGTGCGTTTGACGTTTGTTGATGCAGGATACTGTATGTTACATACTACTTAGTGAGTGACACTGTTTTTTCGGGCATACTATGTATTTATATTAAAAATTAATGGTAAAGTAATGATACCCAAGAAATTTTCGAAAAAATTAATCATGATTATTTGTCAATATCTTTTAATTTATTGCGATTAATAGCCTCAAATTTTATGAGGAGGCTAAGCCTCCCTTGCCTTTTCCAATAAATAAATATATTTACCACAGTGAAAGGGTTAAAAATGCACTATAGTTAAAATATTGATATTGCAAATGTACATTGATAAAATAGCATATTGTATATTTTTTTTCACATTCATTGATTTTAACCCATATTCCTAGAAATCTTTGATCTACTTAGTATATATTGAAAGTAACATTACCATTGTTTTTGCATAAAATGAAAAGTAATTGTGATGACAATTCATTCAGTTGGCTACTAGACGATGTTAGCAAGCGGCACAAGTGGTTTCTGAGGGTATCGCCCTCCTCGGGCCGAGAATGAACGTCTCTCAATGGAGGGAGTATGTGGCTTCTCAAGTATTTCCTTATGGAACGATGATGTGAAGCACTCTTCACAAGCACCGTTAGTAAAGGTGATAAGATTTCATATTGACTAGATGTGCTCTACAATCAATTATTATCATTATTGAAATGTAAAAGTTTTTGGTAAACAAATGTTTGAAAAGTAAAAAAACCTACCGTTGATTCGTTGAACTTTATCTTCAAGAATACCAGCATCTCAAAAATAGCCATCATATTGTCGTTCTCAAACTTATATTTGTTTGGCACCTTACGATCAGTTTGTATAGGAATAATCAATGCCGAGTAAGTCTCGGGAGGTATATTTGTGAGTAGATTAATAACATTGTTACGTAGTTTCCAGTTTCTATCAGTATCAGAAGAAGCTACAAACATATAGCTCCTGAGAATTTCCACTAGGGTTAAATAGTTGATTTCAATGTCTGAATCATCAGATGTAACGGTTAGATTGAATAGTAATTTCAATATTTCGCTGACAAGATCGATTTGTGTATCCTGCAAATTAAAACATATCCTCATCAATAAGACTATTTAAAGAACTCATTTGAAGATAATAATATTGATGACATGAATATTGGAATAACTTCTATTTCTAAACATTTCGCGGGCTACCTACATTTGATCAACGATTTTTTAATTTTTTTTATCTTAGTAGACTCGCCTCAAAAATATGTTCACAGTTTGAGCTCTGTAACATGTTTAGTTTGTTGATGAGAGGCGGAGTCTTACGAACATTGACAATGGGGAATGTTCCTTCGGACAAAAATCAAATAGTTTTCATAAAAGAGCTCTAAAACAACGCATTTTAAACTTATCATTTCAACCTTTTTCTTTAAAAAATCATTTAAATACTTAAAAAAGAAGAATGAAATAATGCATTCAACATTTAAAGGGGTTCGTTTCTATTTCACCATTTGGCAACATCGATAATAGCTAATAAAGGACAATGAATCTGTTACCTGTATCAGACAAACAAAGATGACATATTTCAGAGGCGTGCTGTTATGTTTACTTATGTTCCGATTTCCGAGACATTCTGTGACATATGACATTTAGTGCACCTAACCTATCTTCCTCTATATAAATAAATAACAAAACAACTGTTGTTTATGTGGCTTGTGGAGATGGTATTGAACTACAATTTATATTTTGCCTTAATTGTTGATTTATAAAGATAATTTTCCTTTTTAAAGTAAAATATCTAGGTATGTATAAATTATTCCAACTTGATATAGGCGCTGTTGCCTATATGTGAATTAGAAACAAATCCCTTTAAAAATTAAAACCCAACATTTGAAACATCAATTTGAATACTTTTCAAAGTGAATTTGAAAAACTCATGAATCAAACTCAACTTTATTTTGTTCAAACTTGCATTTGCTGTAATAACCCAAATTGAGGAACATTCCCCATTGATAACGGTCATCTTGTTGAAGATATATCTGTCAAATTAGTTGTCATTTATTCAGTGTGTTTTTGCCAAATCACAATGGACAGATATATCATTCAACAACATGTGCAAATAATAACTGTAATCAATATAAAATGGGTGTTTTGTTCGGACAACGTACCGCGCGCTTCACCTATTTTACGGTCGCCATAATCGTCCTACGAGAGGACTACTCGCAATGCGGACGATAAATTTGAGTCCACTGGTTCAGTAACGATCGACCAACACCCGTACGTAGCAAGTATAAAGACATCCATAAACTCATGGATGCAAGCCAAATCGATAGAATGGTGGAATAAGCTCCCAGGAATGAGGCAGGCGAAAGAGTTCATAAAGAATCCATTGCCTAGATTCACGGAGGACCTGCTAAACCACAACCATGAGGGTGGTGGTAGGTCTACTAACGGGGCATAGCGGGCTCAGGAAATATATCAGCAACATGGTCTGGTTGATAACAAGGCTGAGACACGCAAGATGCGGGGAAGAAAAACCAGAGACTGCCAGCTATATGAAGGGGTCAGTGTCAGTGCTATGAATGAATGAAAAAATTCGATGATATTTCACACACATATGCAGTTGTATTGCCAATTGCATATGCAGGAAATTTTCTGTGAAGATTCCTGCACTGATGCCTGTCGGCTATAATCCAACGCCGTTCGTGGTATTAGCCAGTGGAGTAGTTGTTTACTGATGGGCGTCAGTCCACTCAACCTACTGTGTAGGTATATCCGAGACTGGCTTGAACATTTTAAAGTTCATTTGTTTAGATTTGTTTACTGCCTATCTTCAAGCATAGCCCACTGACTAATAAGAAAGTTTTTCTTCCTTATTCAGAGGAATCGGGCAAGTTTCGGATATGCAGTTGGTTAGTACCTCATCCACTAGATGGAGTGACATTTTTGATGTTCGCTCCAACTTAAGACGAGGAATGAAATACTCTGGAAGAATTTCGATTTTCAATTATGGAATATCATTGACTTTAGGTCGATGATAGTCACTATCTTGCACTGACGAGTGGCTAAAGAGCCCGAAACCGGTCTGCAAATGTACCCGTTCCAAAATTTAAGGTTAACTCTTTCAGTTGTATTGCCAATTGCATATGCAGGAAATTTTCTGTGAAGATTCCTGCACTGACGCCTGTCGGATATAATCCAACGCCGTTCGTGGTATTAGCCAGTGGAGTAGTTGTTTTCTGATAGGCATCAGTCCATTCAACCTACTGTGTAGCTATATCCGAGACTGGCTTGAACATTTTAAAGTTCATTTCTTTAGATTTCTTTATAGCCCAGTGACTAATAATAAAATTGAAGAGTTTATTTGGTGAAACAAAAGTGTTTATTGCGTGAAAACTTTTTAGAAAGGTGAATTAAGGTCCAGAGTATGTGATAGTATTATTGTACATATTTTTATTACCAGAAATGGTTTGATGAAATAGGTGACTTTTCAATAGTTTCGACGTTTGGATGGACATACCTTCAAAAGTAGACTGGAGTACCACGTTTTGACTTCAGATTCATGATCAGTAGTCAAACCTATGCAAGTTAAACAACAATTTCCAATTATTTCCATATACTCACTGTCAATAAAATGGATTCTTGATTTTTAGCTGCCTCTTTCAAAACATCTTGAAGCATGTCCATCAACAAAACTGGCAAATCCTTGAATTCTTTCTTGATATCCGGGGATATAGCAGTTATCAAGAACGTTAATTTCACATCATAAAACTTGATTTCTTCTGGATATTTTTCATTCCTAATAAATATAAATGAAACCCCAAAGAATTTATTGGTCAGAGAATAAAATTATTAATTGTATATAAGGTTTCTTTATGATAACTAGATATGTACTCACTTGTAATCTATCATTCTTTTTTTTAATCCTTTGAATATACCAACTTTCACAACCTTTTCAGCCAGTGGCTTGCAATTGTACATCAAATTGGAGAGACTTTTTAATACCTCTAAACAAACAGGAGTGGTGTTTTCATTGAATTCAAAATCTTCATTTCCGATAGAGTGTTTTTTCATCAATTCTATCCACTCATCATTTACTAACTCAACAAGATTATGTTTCTCTCGGCTGTGATATGAAATTAAATTTAAAAAATGCTAAACAGGTTGGGTGGATTCATGCAAAGTCATAAGTGGCAAATGGTAAGAAATTATAAGTGTGGATACATGCAGTCTCATTAACCATTAGCATTAAATTATGGCCAATATCACCTATTAATGCAAATGCCCATGCCCAAATATTTATTAAGTATGTTACATATAATGGGATTCGAATGTTTCCTAATGATAATTTAATGTTGATTTAAATGTGGCTGCATTTTTCTAGCCTAACTTCATAGAGGTAAAAATGAAAAAATATGAAGAGAGAAATGAAAATTTCTGTTTTTTTACCACTTTTATTTGTAACTAACGTTACTGCAGTTTCGTCCTATATGTTTAGTTTATTGTATAAGTTTGAGAATGTCCATATAGGACGAAACAGCAGTAACGTTAGTTACAAATGAAAGTGGTAAAAAAACATAGAAATTTTCATTTCTCTTTTCATTATGATCCCCTACCACGTAGTAACGGCTACATCCATCAATTTATTTAAAAAATATGAATTATCAAGACTTAAAATGTGACAGGTACATCAATCCACCCTCCACAAGATACAATTTTTTTGATGATGTGAGTTTTAAAAGGTTTTTAGATCAGGACATAACTTTACCTTAAAATTCTTATAGTGATGAAGCAGTCTCGAATAATACATGAATCTTGAGAAGTTTTCACAATCTGAAGTAATGCATTCCATAAGTCTTCCCGTTTGGATCCTTGTATCAATTCTGGGAATTTGAATTTGCTGGAAGCCTGAAAATTACAATATTCGATAGAGATCAGCAAGTATTTTTTGTGACACTTTTTTTTTAACCTTCTCTATAAAAACTCTCAATGAAGGGCCCCAATTGCTATTATCTGCTGATATTATATTACCGATTTCTTCCTCCATCTCAATATTCAATTATATAAATTAACTTCTGCTTTCGATTTTCTCTAAAATTTACTTTAAACTATTCAAATTGCAATGCAATAAAATGAATGATACACAAAAGACGACATACAACACAAAACTCAAGAAGACTATGAGGTGAGTGGTGAGTGATGTGATTGTGATGAATATTCGGCGATTCGGCCACAGTAGAATGCTAAAGACCCAGTAGTGCAGTATCCCCACTTTTCGATAATAAATAATCACAATGCGCATGATGGAATCATAGAGAGACGTTTTTGGATGCGCCTTGGTAATCGGCAACATTGTCATGTCTAAAATTTTTCATTGAAGTTGCCGCTTGGTTTATCAGACTAACGACGTTTCGTTTGTGGAATCATGATGAAGAGAAGTTTTGTTGTGGCTAATAGTACCACTTTGCCAGGAATATTCCAAGTTGTGATTCATTCCATATTGCATTTCTAATTTAAAATATAAGAAAACAATGTTTAGAGAAATGAGAGTTTGAAAACAACGAAGATGTTACCAATAAGATAAAGTTTGTAAAGGGATGGCAAATAACGATTTCAGCATTCCTTAGTTTGTGCCCGATTTTAAGAGTTAAGGGATCGAATAAGTTGAAAATGTAATAAGTTGTTAATTTGTATATTTCCATATAAACATTGAATTACACGAAAGAAAAATACTTTCGAAACAAATAATTTTATATGAACGCTGAATTATACAAAAAACACTTTTCTCTATTCCTTTTGTATTCGAAACATTCGTATGGAATCAAATAAGATATCATTCACAGGATTTCTAGACAATATAATTGATGAAAGAAGTAAAATTATACTTACATACTAACTTATACTTACTTATAATGAAAAATTTCTATTTTGCAGAAATTCAGTCGAGACTGGCATACGGAATCATAGTATGTGAACAATCACCTGCTGCCAAACGTCTCTTCATTACACAGAAAAAGTGCATTCGTGCCATGTTTTGCAAACTTCAAACAAAATCTAGTAGACCTCTCTTTAGAAAGCTACAAGTATTACCCCTTATTTCTCTTTACATATTGGAAACTGCTTATTACATTTACAAACATAGAAATACTTTGCTCTGTCGCAGTGGCATTCACGGTCATTCCACCAGGAATCGGCACTTGCTGAATACTTCTCTAAACAGATTGAATCTATCACAAAACGGTCCTCTTAGCATCGGAATTCGAATTTTAAATAAAATTCCTCAAGACATCAAAGATGAACCTACCTATTTCAGATTCAAGAAGTCACTGAAAAAAGTACTAATTGAGGGTGCATTCTATACTTTGGAAGAATTTTTTAGAATATAAATCACTGATAGTATATTCTGTCATACTCTGTGTGTAATTGCACATTTTATCTTGATATTTAAATTGTAGTGTACCTACTCAGTCTGTATTTATACTTATCATTTTAACGTTTTACTCTGTAATTTTGCTTTTTGTCTCAGTAATCCAAATTTTTGACATGTCTTATTATACCACTTGTAGTCTTCAGATTAATAATAAATTTGATTTGATATGAACACTGTCATCCTCACAGCTAAAGATACGATCTTTCGCCGTAAGACACTTGCCTTAAGATAAGATAAGATATATTTTCATCTTTATAGGTAGGTATATATGGTATACATAAGACAGGTCAATATAAAAAACATAAAAGCTGAAAATCGAAGATAATTGTAGAAACTTATAAAAATACAGCCACATTCATTTTAAAAGTAATATAAAAAGAAAAACATAACTCACTCTCCTTTATGATTTAAAAATTCACTAAGTGAATAAAAATTGTTTTCCAATAAAAATATCTTTAATTGTTTTTACTTTTTGTGATCGGGAATATCTTTAATTTTTCCTGGAAGGTGGTTGAAAGCCATTGCTCCGGCATATCTTGGCGATTTTTTGTATTCCGTAAGATTACATTTCCTAAGATGAATTTCATGGTTTTGTCTAGTGGGGTAATCGTAAACGATGACAAATTTGAGTGGACGTAAGACAGTAATTTATAAAGATAGATACCAAATACCGTCAGAATTTTATTTTTAAAGAAGACTTCTCTACATGATTCGTTGTATTTTAAATCGAAGATTAATCTAACAAATCTTTTTTGGATAACAAAAACTCTTTCTACTTCCACTGATTGTCCCCAAACCGTTATCTTCATACACAGAGCTGAATATACGAGAGAATAATATAAATCTAGCAAATACTTTTTATTGAAGTTATTTTTCAGAGTGGCAAATGCAAAAAACATTTTACCGAATTTTTTGCAGGTGAGGTTGTCAAGGAAACCGAATCTATATTTAGATTCAAGTCATTAGACCTACCCATCTTGCTAATGAATTCAACGCAAACTGCTTTAGGCATATTGTTAGTGAGATGATTTTTTGGCACCATGCTGTGAAGTTGTTAATTACATGAGTTAATTTTTCTTTCAGGAGGGATACGTTTTCAGCTATCACTATGATGCTTGTATCGTCGGCATACATGAATGGCTTACCATGTTCAATGAAACGGGGCAAGTCATTAACATAAAGAAGGAAAAGAAGAGGTCCCAGTATTCCTCCCTGCGGCGTACCGATTTCGGTCTGCTGTAGCTGCCGTATGTTCGGCTGTTCAGTAGCAAATACGGATTATAATAAAAAAACACTCAATTCGTTCATAATTACAACTTTTTGTCACGGAATGGGTCGAATCCACCCATGTCATTCATGACAGTACGTAAATAACATTCATTCGCTTACAGCTTGTAAAATCTAGGAAGAGACTTGAGAAATATTTCGTTCCCTCTTCTCTCTCTCTCTCCCACTCTCATTGTCATCTAATGAACGCAGATCTAGTGGGCGGGACCATAATGGAATTCATAAAGCTCTTCCAATATTGATAAGCATAAGGCATAAGGATCTTGTTTAAATTAAAAGGGTATATTTTTAGGACAGATTAATTTTATTTCGATACGGGCAGGGTGACCACCTACAGACATGTCTGGCATATATTTGTGCAATGTTCTTCAAGGAGAACACTTTTGCAGTGGTACTTGTAAAGAAGCAATAAGAATAATTCTTTATTAAGTTGAGAATAATCACCCGCGTACATGTATGTTTCAATGTTGTAGCATCTCAAAAGGACAGACTGGGTTAGACAAGCAGATCAATTCTTTTCATTCGTTAGCAACTCTCCGACACGCTTTTCGAACTTCGTTCGATTTTATACGTTTTATATTATTTATACAGTATATAAAAATATCAAATATTGCATATTATCCAGTTCCGAGCTATATTTGGAGTTGCAAGTCCCTTCAGTTCTCCGATAACTTATTTTCAGATGTATTGTAAAATTTGAACCAAACAGACAAGGAGCGAGGAAAAACGTGAAATAATTTGAATAAAAATAATATTCTACATTACTACAAAACACCAGTTTTGTTCGAGGAACATCTTCAGTTAAAAACATTCTTTTCAAATTGTACCATATGTTTATATGAGGATTAAGCAGTGTTTGTCCCTACCGAACTACTATGAAATGTGTTTTACTGTCGAGCAGTTTATATCTTTCATTCACTTGTTGAGCAGTATATGAGATGGCAAACGCTGACAAATCCACTCGTGACGGGAAAATTATGTATGCGCGGTAGTTCTAAAAAATGAATCTGTTCCGACAGGAGTACAGTACAGCAAGCTGTGAGTACAGTACTGACTGATTCGTTCTTTTAACATTCTTCTGTGATGGCTGGTGACACTGGCATAGCATCAAAATCACAAACTACCTAAGTGGTAGTTTGAAATTCGAGGATTATAACAACCGAATCCGTTATTTGCGTATGGGCCGTGTGTCGTTCAAGATTTTTCGTAATCCCGCTGAAAGATTACATTTTAATTTCGTGAAAAGATCATTATTATTATTATCAAATATTGGGAGAATTACGTGTAGCGAGTTTTGATTTACTGCCGAAAATAACTCAAGGGCGATATCAAAAAAATATGAAAATTTTGAAAGGGCTGCTGGCCGTTAAAAAATCTTAATGTTTAAATCTGTTTCAAATCTGTTTTCCGTTAACCAGCTGTCTCAACCCTACGAACGACATCCCTCAGAAGTCTAAACAGTGTCACCACTGACTTGTGGACTTTATCAACAAACAGTGAATCATATGTACTAGTTGAAATGCCAAGATACCATATACACCAGTTACCATATGGTGTAGTCATTTAGTTCATTTGGACCTCTTCCGGTGTAAAACATCGGAAGAGTTCCAAAAGTGTGTTTTGAATACTTACGTTAATATCTTTTCTCCACTTTTCTTCTTTTTATATATTTTTTTACGGAAAACTGCAGCACCACATCATCTGTAGATCTTGATTTGCCAATGTCCTCTCTTTCATAGAATAAAATATAAGGAGTCTCCAGAGGCTCCAATAAATTCAATATTTTCATTGCCAAGTGCCTGGTTGATTTTTTGGGCTCTATTGGTAGCGTTTTTGTAAAAATCAAATTCGTAGACGAAACTCGCCCAAAAATCGTTCAATGACAGTAATAAGCTGAAAAGAGGTAAAAAATTTGAAAAAAATGAACAGCGTCAACGTATAGAGTAGAAAATTCTCTCTCGATCAGTATATACCACGACACAAAAGAATGAATATTTATTTTCACATATAGTCGGTGGGCATATTTGTTCGAATTGTTCTTAGATAATTTAAATATTTATTTGATATATGGAGCTATGAAAACATATCACGTTAAAATATTTTCTCAGTTCTCCTTGAGTTTTGCTCTGCCACCTGGTGGCAATGGTCCACTCGAATTCTACAAAAAGTCCTAATAACCTAATTTGTTTTATGAAAGTCAAAATTAAAAAACGGAAAAAGTTGAATCAGTTAGTTCATCATGTACTCGATATTTTTTAGAAATTGTAATTTAAAGGTACCCTCGAAAGTACTCAAGGCTCATAAAGGTTAGTTATAAATCCTTTCAATTATTATAAAACAGAACTTTCAATTACATTTAGGGCTCCGAGAGTTCTCTGCTGTTGTGAACAATGTAAACTCTAATGGTTTCCAAACGAATAGAAACAATTCCAATAAACTACAACAAGAAATTTTAGAATATCGTCATATATATCCAGAGTTCCTACCAGATCCAGAAATAAAATATAGAAATGCACTGAGAGAAAAATTGGAAAGAAGTGATATGATTGCTCGTAGGCATCAAATCCAAATACCAGAGTTTTATGTTGGTATGTGGATGGAGGTCAACTTCAATATAATTTCCAAAGTGATACATTATTCAACTTTTCAGGGTCAATAATGGCCGTCGAATCCGCAGATCGGCATACTCCTGGTAAGAACCAGCGCTTTGTAGGAATATGCATACAAAGAGGTGCAAGCGGTCTCAGAGCTCATTTTACCTTGAGGAATGTTATTGATCACCAGGTATTTTCCATCTATCTGTATTCAAAATCTTATCTGTAAATCTTTGCCAGTTACAGAAAATACTACACCAAGTGCCAAATAAGCTTGCTTCACTTTTAACATAGGAGTTTCAATAAACCATGTTAGTGAAGTTATGAGGAAAATTTGAATTGCAATTCAATGCTGGAGTCAAGTATTTATTTTCCCATACTTTTACTATAGGCCAAAAATGAAGGCAGAAAACAAAAAAAAACACTTTCATGTGATCCAATCAGTACGTTTCATAAGTGAGCTTCCATTTCTAAGAGGCCACAATCACAATGTATATGTAAAAAAAGTCATTGCAATCGAAATCCTAAGTTGAAAGTTATGATATTTGGAAAACTGGCAAAACTTTGGTTGTGCCAGGGTATTTTTCACCTTAACAGCAATAATAACTTTTGCATTTCAGGGCATTGAAGTTATGTATTATATGTATGACCCAACCATTCATAAAATAGAAGTATTGAGGTTAGAAAAACGTTTAGATGATGAACTATTGTATCTGAGAGATGCTCTTCCAGAATACAGCACATTCGACCCAAACATGGAGTTGGAAATTCTTCCTGAAGGTGAAAATATACAAGGATATAGAAAAATTCAAATTTGTATGGATTTTATATTTTTCAGGGAGTCCTGTACCTGTCAACCCAATAAAAGTTAAACTCAAACCAAAACCTTGGTTGGAGAGATGGGAACGAAAAAATCTGCAGGGTGTGCAAGATTTAGGATTACCTCAAAAATTCTACGATCGAGCTAAAGAGCTAGAAAAACCATGGGAGAAATATGATCTAATGAAAGAATATATGTAATTATCACCATGCAAATCTAAAATTTGTGTTGAATTGTTTTCTTTTTTCTAGGAGAACCATTCCTGCAGAGGAACAAACTGAGATATTCACAGAAGTTCAGTCAAATTTGGCGAGGTTGGAGGTTCATGGAAAGAAACTGAAACGGAAGAGAGTATTTGTAAAACCAACCAAACTTGCTTAGTGTTATTAAAAAGGTTTAATGAGCATTTCGTTTCATTTATCTTTTGATGTGATGAAATTGGCCTATACTTGATGAAAATCCATAATAACACTACGGTTAGCGTGCGTGATTGCATCTTATTTATTCAATCGATATGTGGAACAGTGGTTCACAAAACATATTTGAAAATAAGAAAAAAAATCAACCGAAAACTACTACTTTTGATTATATGAAAATTGAATTACAAGAAAGCAACTTTTTTCATTAGGTTTGTTTTGCACAACAAATATTCATTGTGGAATTGAAATAGAAAGCTTGCACAACACAACTTGATATATGGAAGGGTATAGGTATATTCACAATACCATTTACAAGTAAATCTTACAATCTGGACTTTCATAAAGGTCATGTAAATACACAAATCTTCAATTTCGAAGATAAACTAGGCGATAGGTATCATCAGCAGTACTAGGCTGAACCACAAATGCATTGCCGATCAAATGTCCTTGAAAGACAAGCCTGAGTAAACCTATCTATCCCTACGAAAACACCATCTGAATGATTGAGAGATAACTCGATCTTCAGATATCACAGATAAACTTGGCCCTTAGGCTTTCCTAGGGAGAGATTTTAACATCTTACTTATTCAGGCTCGTCCTCTGGGAATAGCTGAATCCAGTAATGCTTTTTTGAGCGCTATCCTTAAAAGACAAGCCTTAGTCTATGGTCACGAAAATCGCGACGGCCGAGCGATTTTCGTGCCGACGTGGAGAAGTATATCGCATGGGCACGAAACTTTGGTCGGTCAGTCGTGGTGGAGTAGTGTTGTGAGCAACATGTTACATCATAGTAACACAAGTTTATGTCGAAAAGAACTATTCTACTAATGAGAACGGATTTATTATTACTTAGAAATGGTGTTTGTTCAATAAATGAAGGAAGAAGTAATTTTGGCCAATTTTCTACCCTTTATTACGAGCTAAGATGAATATTTTTAATGTCCCATCATTATCATTTTCCTACTGTAATCGCGAGCGACCTAATCACACTAGTTTGTTCTTGTCGCTTCCGCGCCGCCGTCGCTCCGCTCCCGACCGTGCACCTATACTGTTAATGCAATGGTGGGACTCACTCAATCGACCAGTGGTTCAAGCGGCTAGGCCGGAAGGTCGATTTTCACTTCCCATCGTCCAATCCATGTTAGGAATCACACCTTGAAAGGTAAGACCTCGTTAGTTCTTAGCTCGCACAAATTTCAACTTCAGAAAGTTGTCGTTCGTAGAGGGGCGACAGGTGGTTAAAGGAAAAACAGATTTGCGTTGAAACAGTGCTCAATGGTGTTGAATTATAAGTGCGTTATGTTTGGGCTCTTATTTTCAAAAAGGTCCTGAAGACGGTTCGATATAAATCCAGGCTTTGATGTCTACCGCCAACGGAGAAATCGCTTCCCATCTCTATAGCTTTCACTGCAACAGGAAGCAATATCTAGAGAACTGTTCTGTTCCATAGTGTTAGCTGATCTCACGATATGAAACTCCGTGAAATGAATAGCAAAACATTTTATAAAGCTCTTTTAATAAAATCATTCTTACAGGAAAATTCACAATTTTTTCGTTTGAAAAAATATATTCAAAAAGTACAACATATTTTCAATATACAAGGCGAAAATAAATACAAGGAATGACTAAAAAACTATTTTAAACAATTTTCAATGTACAAAACAAAAGAGTACTTACAAGGAAGGTATAAATTTTTCTTTTCTCCTAAAAATACTATATAATATTTTCTATTTACAAAGTAAAAAATAATGAAACTTCTGAAGTCCATGATAAAGTGATAAGCTGAAACAAAAAAATCAGCATCAAATATTGTTGATGTTAACGACTGCTACAGTCTTAAAATTGGTGAAATGTGTTATAGGTGCATGTTGAATTGTTATAATGTTGTATAAAAAAAAATGTAAACCTAGTTATAATGAAAAGTTATTTACATAACAAAAAGTTCAGAATAACTCAGATGACAAATAGTTAAAAAAATGTATTTGGGTGTAAATGAAGTATCATCGCATATTTTAGTTTAGTTTTCTCATGTTTTCTAGTTAATATAATAACAAAGCGCTCTACATTCATTAATCAATTAACTTTCTCCAATCACAATCCAACTTGAACATTATCTATGGCAAGTAATAACATGAAGTCACATTTTTTTGGGTAATGGTTACCTTCCACAATCTGAAAAAATATAAAAATTATATTTTTTCCTCCACAAAAAATGACTTTCGTTGAATATGAAGTCACACTTGTATGTCCGAATCTGTTGGAAAAGTTTGTTCATTTTCTTTGATTCACATTATAAGTTTGGAAATTAATATGCATGGGAGTAGGCAGATTCAGATATTTGCAGGGACCAGAGACAAGACCTGTTGAGTAGGCAGATTGAAACCATGGCGTCAAGTCAGAAAAACCCAAACATGTTTACAAAAAGGATTTGAAGCTTCAATAACTTTTACTTATATATATCTTATACTTCAAGGTTTTACTCAAACTGAACGTTTTATCTTCTTGTTTGTTCTTTTATACGGTTAGAACGCCTTAGTTCAAGTATTTGTCCTCTCCTGTCACCCGGATATCTGTTTGAATTTGCCTGTATTTAGGTTACATCAGGTAATATCCTTTGTGTTGGAGTTTCTCTAGTTTCATTGTTTATAGGAATCAGTTTTGTATTGTGTAGTATATTGAATGTTAGGTCTTGTTGTGTTTTGATTTGTATTTGTTCCTCAATAAGTGAATTATGACTTTTGAATTTATGGATGTTTAGGTTTTCCCAGATGTCCATAGGGTTTCCTTTATTGACTTGTTTAATGAGTTTGATATTTTTTGGTGGGGATAGTTATGTATGTTTTGTATGGCGTGTGTTGCAAGGTTTGATTTATATGTTATTGGGTTTATGTACGCTTTTTTGTGCTCGTCATACCTTTGGATCAGTTTTTCTTGGTTTGGCTGATATAGAATTTGTTGCAGTCCGAGCATTGTATGCTGCATACTCCGTTTAGATTTTTTGTTGTAGAAATCGGAGTCGACGTTTCGGTTGCGGCTTTGAAGCCATTTTCAAGAATGTATGACTACACTCAATCTGCCTACTCTTCAGGTAGTGACAGGCTTTAAGTGGTTTTGTGACTTGACGCTCATTCAATGATGAGACCTCTTTACTTTTCAGCTCGCAAAAGTTTCCACTTCTGAGGGTTGTCGTTCGGAAGGGGACAACAGCTGGTTAATGGTAAAAACATATGTATAGAAATAAAAGGTCACTGGTCTCTGCGAGAGTCTCAATCTGCCAATCTTCGATACAGTAGTTGCTTGCAAGTGGGCAGACACATGCACACATATTCACGCACACAGAAATTATATAATTTGTGGCTGGTGTGTTTATGTTTAGTTTATATATTAAGTTCGCCTACTGGCACTCAGTAAATTAATAAACAATAAAATATCTGAATATAAAGTTCTCTTACCTTTCATAAATCAAAATAAACAGAGGAAATTCCAAAATCGAGTTACTAACTGCACCTATTATAACTGGATTTTGAAGTGCTAGGATTGGCAGCCATTTGTTGCAAGGAATTGATAAACTGCTTCTGGAACTCGTCCTGGAACCCACCCGTCAAATCTCCCTTATTATTTGAGTCGCTCTTTTGTACAGAATTCGACTTGGACGAAGAAAAGTTTTTGTTGTACGCGATCACCGACACTGGCGAACTAGAAGAGTTATCATTTTTCACAGGAGAACAAGACAACTTCTGGAGAGCCTTTAAATTTTCCATCACCATCTGAATATCGTCACCCTCTGTTTTCACGGGGGTCGAATGGTAATCCATAACGTTATTCGCAGCTTTTGAAAAGTAATCCGAGGATCTCATTTCCGTAAATAAATCGGGAGTTCTCGGATCCGACAGTATTTTCCTTTTATCCGACACAATTCCTGGGCAGTGAGAAACTTTTGATATCACAGCATTATGATCTTCCCTTGGCAGCTTTCTAATATCTTCTATGGACTGGTAAGTATTCTTAACTATAACCCCGCTGTCATCCAACATTTTTGGCAAGTCCATCAGTCTGTGCTTTGGAGTGGACAAGTTGTCGCTTCGAACGTCGTTACTTCTGCTATGCTTTGATGAAGAAGGAGTGTCATGACGGGATGGAGGAGACTCTATTATTTGCCTTTCCGACTGCGTCTTCAAGATGTCAGTTTGCCTGTAGTGTTCCTTCGATCTGTGATGTTTAGAGAAGTCCCCCGCGTGTGTTTTTGACGTTTCCGCATAAGGTTTGAACATTTCATAGCTTGAAAAATCCTTCGGTTTGTCAATAGGCTTGAACAAATCACCTTGTCTGAAATGCTTCGATAAGTCCGAAGGCATTTCATCATATGGCACTTTTCCACTGAGAGATGAGGCCTCTCCATGTGAAGTTAAGCTTTCTGGTTTTGGCGGTAGTCTTCCTATACTCGCCAGAAAATTTTCAACAGTCTGGTGATGATCGGCTTGTCGGGACTTCTCCACATGTTGAGACTTCTCTAAATGTCGATGTTTTTCTGAATGATGTGACTTTTCCATGTGACGCGGTTTTTCCGAATGCATGGATTTTTCCATATGCCGGTGTTTTTCTGGATGATGGGATTTTTCAACATGGCGAGGTTTTTCGACATCAGATTTCTCTCCCCGTCTCGATTTATCCTCATAGTGATCATTTAATGGCTTTGGCTTGTCAACGCACGATTTGTCTCCCGTTCTTGCAGTTTCCAAAGAAGCCTTCTCCAAATGTCGCGTTTCTTCAAAACTTTGCCTCAAGTTTTTGGAGTACTGTAACTTTTCATAAGATGCTTTTTCTACATTTTGGGGCTTTTCTGTATATCTGTGCTTTTCTATTACATTTGGTTTTTCCGCTTGTGCTAAAGTTCTTTCTTGTTCAGAATATTTTTCATCCTGAGTACGACAATGACTTGGACTAAGAACCGACTTTTCCGGATAAAAAACAGAATTATCTTTATGACTACCATGACTATCTGAATACAGACTAGGATTCTCGGGATGTACTACAGGTTTCTGAACATGAGCTTCGGGTATTTTTTCCGACGCATGCTTCTTCGTTTGACTTACATAATTTTCTACATAACTTGACATATTCTCCGGGTAAGCAGTAACTTTATCTACATTTGACGACACTGTGTCTGAATGCGGAATATATTTTTTCGTGAACCCCATATACTTATTAGTCTGAGGTTCACTTTCTACAGCTTTCCCAGGAGTCCTATCAGCAAAGGGAAACGAAGAATGTTCTTGCGCCAGAACATTTTTTTCAGTATACGGCTTGAAAACCTCGCCCTGACCCGATTTTTTAGACAAGTCACCCTCTGAAACATATGGTTTGAACATATCATTATATTTTGAGCTCTTCGAAAGGTCCGAAGGTTTGTCTATTTCCGGAGAAATACTCTTCAGATTTTGTGGGCTTGATTTTGGATATTTCTCTGCATAAGGCTTGAACACCTCGATTTCATTGAGTCTTTTCAAGGGTTCCGTCTTAGTAGAGAACGAAACATTAGTACCCTGATCACCTACGGGTTTATCACTTTCTTTAAATACTCCGCTGCCAGAAGAAGAAACATTCTGGATATTTGTCAAAGGATATAGTTGCACATCACTCCCAAGTTTACTAACTGAACTGTTCAAAACTTTCGTGGACGTTGTCGAACTGCTGTTACTGATGGAATGTTTCGACTTGTTAGGGTTAGAATTCGAAGATGCTGACTTGGAGTCTATTAATTTGGAACTTTCGCTCATGCTATTGTAGACTTTTTTGAGGTTATTCAAGTACATCCAACCTTCTGGCCAGAGAGGCAGAATGACAGCCCTTAGATATTCAACAGCTTGTTCTTCAAGCTTATCTTTCTGTTTGCCTTCTAAAATCAGGCAGCGTTTCTTAATGCTGAGGATATCCTTGATGAGTCGCCTGAAAAAAATTAAAAAATTCATGTTAACATGCAGAATACTTCTGTGAATAGAAACAGGAAATTTGACTTCATGCAGCAGCAATGATTGTTTATTTATTTACGGACTTGCCCTTATACAATGTAGTAGTAGTAGTAGTTTATTTGACCAGATTATGTAGTTTATACATTTATGTATTTATGCACAAGATAATTTGCGAACAGCAAGGTCAAGATGATTTCTCCAGCTTAATTTGTCATCAATCGTAATGCCTAGAAACGATACATTTGCCCCCTCGCGATAATTTGTATTTGTGGAGACAATCAAATTTTGGGTTTTTCTTTCATTCAATTTGAGTTTATTCTTCGTGAATCAAAGCTTAGCTGAGTTTTGTACTGTGATGACGGAGTCTTTCAAGTTAGTGTAAGACTTGCTTGAGCAAATAATTGTTGTGTCGTCAGTGAATAGAAAACATTTAGTAGGTGCCATGGCGTGGCATAAGTCATTTATATACATAATAAATAAGAAAGGTCCCAAGATTGAACCTTGAGGGACGCCATGCTCGATTTTTTTGAAATCAGATTTTACATCATTTACAATGAACACATAAATAGTGTGATTGAACAAATAAACGATTGAATAATAATATAGGATACCAAAAAAGAAATATCTATTAATTATTAATAATAATAATCAGAAGTTTCTTCATAGTGTCAAACAAACCAATACAGCTGCTATTCTTATTTGCTAACCTAAGCATTCTAGTGATGGTTTCATTTAGGCCACAGCTATTAGAAAATATAATAATGAAATAGATAATGTACTAAAAGTAAAAAAATAATTTGGAAGGTCCTAGGTGGCAGTTATCGCACCATTCTCCTCAGCAATCTACGGTACTGATTAGGTGAAAATTTAATGAAATCGTTGGGCATATTTACCTGAGTAAATATGTAAATACTACGCCCAATGATTTTATATTTTTTTATCTGATCAATACCGTAGATTGCTGAGGAGAGTGGTATGATGACTGCTACCTAGGACCTCCCGGACTGCTACCTAGGACCTCCCGAACTCCTACACTCTGGTTCTTCTTGAATTTACATTGAAGTTAATCAATTGTGTTACAAATGGACAGTTCATATCACCATTTATAACTTTATGAAGAAGTCTTAGATTATTTTCAGCTCGGCGGTGCTCCAAAGTACATAAATTCAAAAGAAGCAGAATGTCTGAGTACTCATAGTCGGACCTTAGATAACCGAGCCTAAATGCACATGATCTTAGAAATTTGTTTTGTACTTTATCAATCATAGATATATCTTTCTGATATAGAGGACTCCATATCACGCAATTATTTTCCAAGACCCAGCGTACCAAGGAACAGTACAATATTTTAAAGGTATTTATAGAAAATTTATCTGTAGATCGTTGAACAAATCCCAATAATTTGAGTGATTTAGATGTAATGTGATCATTATGACTTTTGAAGGTTATTTTGCTATCAAACATTACTCACAAGTCCCGAACGCTGTTAGTCAACGTTAGATTAATGTTTTTGATTTTATATGGATATACAATAGGTTTCACAGCTCTTGAAAATGTTATTTGATAACATTTATTTATATTTAAATGAAGCATATTTTCATCACACCAACGAGATAAGTTATTTAAATCTATCTGTAACAGTTCTGCATCATAAAAGTTATCTACAACCCTGTAAAGTTTGAGATCATCTGCAAACATTGAATAATAGCTGTGGCGTATGACATCCGACACATCGTTTACAAAAAGAATGAAGAGCATTGGACCTATATGCGATCCTTGAGGGACACCAGACGTTACAGGAATTTGTGATGATACGGAACCAGCATATTTAACATACTGAATTCTATTACCCAAATAACTCTTTATCCATTTTGACATGTCACCATTAATGCCTAATGCTAGGAGCTTAGCCACGAGAAGATCATGATTTACCCTGTCAAAGGCTTTAGAGAAATAAATATAGTCAATTTGGTGTTTTTCCTCTAGGTTATTCAAAAGAAAATGTTGATAAAGCAATAAATTCGGAGTGGTGGATCTACCAGATATAAAGCCATGTTGGTGTTCATTTATTATATTTTTTGTATCAAATGGCAGTTTTTTAGTTATCAAACAATCCAGCAACTTGGGAATTTCCGATTGCTTGCTCACTGGACGGCAGTTTTTAATATTTTCTTTATCACCAGATTGGAGTTAGAAAACTTTGATTCCAGAATTAAGGGAAGATTCCCATAAATAAAGAAAGATTAAATAATGTTTGTAAGGGTTTTGCTAGAGTGAATATGCAGTTTTTTTAAAAATTGCATAGGAATTCCTTTGGGATCAGCTGAGAGTTTTCCTGGGGTTATCATGAGTTGATTTATTATTTCTGCTGTTTCAATTTAGTACATAGTTGGAAACATGTAAACTCTCTATGCATTTGTATTGCGGAATTTGAAAAACATTTTCGTCAGAATAGGTAGTAGAAAAATAATTTGGGAAAAGATTAAGAATACCATTGTTACTATTGCAAGTGATATTCTCCAAACACATGGTTGAAAAGCATTTTCGATTTTTTTGTCATGATATTTCTTCTGAATCCATGCCAGGAGTTCATTGGTGAAATTTGATTCCATAAAATTTTCTAACCTAGAATAGGAACATATCAAAAACTTGCCAGGGAGGATTAACAATGACCAAGCATAAGAATAAAAACAAATGATTCTTGTCCTTTTTCTCAGTCATTTTCCAACACACCTAGTTTTTCGCTCAATACACTTGATAAGATGCTTTTCCATTTCTTCTACCCTTTCTGAAAAGTAATATTATGCGGAACTTTCAAAAAGGATCAAGTTTCAGACATGAACTCATTGACTGTTGTAACACAGCGTGTTTCAAAGTATATTGTCAGTATACAAATATATATCATGTGATACTATGACTTTGTAGGTACATGTGATAGATACCTAATGGAAAAACAACAACTAACCAAGCTAATGCCGCTGAAGTAAAACCATTAAGCACCTATGCAACCTCTTCCATTTGGAATATTTGTCGTGAGTAACTTCCTACATACGAAAAGCAGAAATTAATTTCATTTGGTAGGGACGACCATCGATAGACCGGTTTCGGAGTACTTGCTCCTCATCAGTACCGGGCAGGCCATTCCAAACAGAGTGAACCATCTAAGTATCCCGAACTGACAAAATTCATTCCAACTAGCCATAAGCTTTATCTGCAGTTGATTCAGCAGGATGTCCACTGCAAAGTCCGGAAACCACTCCACAAATACATACTCCGGGGTGGGAGTCAGAATAATAAATATATTCCGGAGAGGTGCATATGACATGTCCAAGTTCGGGTGAAAAAACACCTTATCCCTTGCTTCTCATATGAACCTATGACTTTGTAGGTACGTGTGGCAGATACCCGACGGAAAAACAACAACTAACCCAGCAAATGCCGCGCAGCTAATGTATTCCAAATGGAAGACGTTGCACATGTGCCTGATGAGTTTGATTCAGCTTTCTGCATGTGTGTGTGTCTTGGAAAAAGTATTTTCATTATTATTATAGGTCGGATGTCCAAACCTAAAAATTCAACTACGTATTAATAAATAACTCCCGGCAGATTCTAAGGAATAAATTAAAACTCATACTTACTTCGCTTCATCAGTCCACTGGAACTTTCTTCTCGGCATTTTCAGAGCTTTATTGTCTTCGTTATTGCCAGACTCTTTCGAAAATCTACAAAACACACGCTCAGTACCAAAATTAATTTATAATTATAGCAAATACGTACTTCTTCTGCAACACTTTCTGACTCTCGTGTTCATAATTTGTCAATAATGAAGGCATCATGCGGTCGATTGTATCTTTCAGCTTGACTGTCAATATTTTCAGTCGTTTTTCTTCATCTTCAAGAACAAGGTTTTTGGCACGTTTGATGAGAGTCTCTTTTCTACACACTACATAACTCGACAGGTGCTCGTAAACTCTGAGCCTGGATGATTTACCAAGTACCTTACATTTCCTCTCCAAACTGAAAACAATTAATAATAATAATAATATTTATTTACTAGTAGCAACATTATGAATCGATGTGGATAAAAACTTACCTGAGTAGGAGCAAGTTGACTTCATCAGTGTAAAACGCCTTCTTTCCCTCTCCCTTGTAGTTTATAGCAGCATTTCTGATCTTCTCTACTATCTCCATGATATCAGCAGGTAAATTTTCCGGCAACTTAGCTGCTTCTCGTTTCTCAATCTTGTTCAGTTCTTGACTAGATTCTGTCTCCATGGGCTGTGGTTGGGAGATTTCAAGTACTGAAAAGAGCAAGTAATTAGAAAGATGAATTGTAGGAAAGCGATATGGCGCCTCTTCGAAGATGAAAAGTTAGGCTATCTCTGCTGAATGAAAAATCGCTTTCTGTCTTTGCCTTCCTCTACAGCTTTCCCACTGATCACATTCTTGTTCATCTTTGGTGACAGGTTCGAATTTACTTCGATTCAAATGAAAATTAATAAATTTTTCGAGTGTAGAAGACAGAAAATCAAATAATAGGAAAACCTTTCAAATTAAGCATAAAGTTATTAAAAATTTAATTCTACTACACTTGAATGAATAAAGTACATTATTTGCCTTTAATTTAATTTTAGCATATTTGTCATGCACCAGGAGTGCATCTCTTTTGAGAACTGTTGCCATCTCTACTTTGAGTTCCTCAAGTGTCTGTCCTGAAACAGTGATGGTAGTATCTTTATATATATACACTGGCCGTGGTATAATCTGCAAAAATAGTAACTTTTCCCCACTGATATATCTCACCAACTGTATTCATGCACAAGTGGATAATAATAACCTGGTTTTCAACTTTCTCAGACCTAACAGAAGCATTCGATACTGTTTCTTCCATATTTTTATTAGAAAATGACTAGTAATGGGCTTTCCCAATAATGTGTTGTGTTGGATAAAATCATACATGGAAAACCGTAGTTTGGTGGTGGAATGTAATGGAATTACATCAGCTCCTTGTGATGTGAAACTAGGTATTCCACAAGGATCTGTTTTGGGTCCGTTCACATAGCTATGTATGCTGACGATACTACAATCACTGTTTATGGGAAAAACGAGAATGGGTTATCATTGAAAATAAATTTAGTTATCGACGAATTTAGTAGTTGGTGTCACCTTAACAAAGTGATTTTAAATAAATCTAAGTCAGTATTGATGCTAACATTTGTTAGGAGAGATTTCTGTTATAATTTATTCGCTTTGAATGACATTAAATATCAAAATAAGAAAATTTTCGTAGAACTATTTTAGATGAGAATCTCACCTAGGGTTGTCACATACAGTAAGTGTACAGTAAACTTAATTCAGCTTATTATTCAATCAAACACTTGAAACATCGTTTGGTTTACTAAATGTTTATTTTGCAAATACATACTGCCACATCAGTTTAAACATAATGGCTTTGGGATGTATAACGAAATGTGTCGTTTTTGTATATATAAACTTTGACTTGGTACATAACAAACTTGAGCATTATCACTAGACAAATGTTACTACAGCCATAAGGAGTATTTAGAGAATATGTTCACAGAAAATAATAAAATTATTAATCGCTACAATGTTTCACTTATTCGTGAGTAGGACGAAAGTGAGGGGTCTTTTCCATTTTCCACTGTGACCCACAAGAGTCAGAGTGGAGGGTCACAGAATTTATTTGGTGAGTGATCTTCTCACAAAGGCTGAAAACCTGAGCCGGTCAGTGAAGGGGCAGACACAGAGAATGTGCTCTACTACCAGGGCCTGAAGGTTGAGATACCATGATAATGGTAATCTAATGTGGACCTGACTGCGGTCAGTCTGTGACTATCTTCGTCCAAGCAGATGAGCAATATAAATTTGTGGTTTGGTCCATAGAATCCATAGAAAAATGAATTAAGAAATAAACCATTCAGAAATGGCGAGATTAGTTTTATTTGTGACCCTATTCTATTTAATTTGTTTACTAATGACACTTGTGACATTCTGAGATATAGTAAAGGTTTTTTTATTTGCAGATCTCGAGCTTTTCAGCTAGTCAAATGATTCAGTAGACTATTGCTATATAATGACTTTAATTCAAATGTTTAAATCCATAATTCAATTTGCCATACGGATAATTGTAAGTTTCTAAAATGAAGTTTGAAAACCTTCAAATTTTATCTCAGTCAAGAAGTTCGGGAAGAAAATTTCCAATAAGTTAAAAGCATGTCAGCTCTAGCCTGAATAATAGGTTGATGTTTGGATGAGTTTATACTAGCTTCTTTTTTATATTGATGAGCAACACATTCATTAATTCAAGATTTTTCACTGGGTGTAGACTTCTACAGCCAGTGTCTAACAAATCATTAACTCTTTTTGGATTTTTTAGCCTTGGTATGCACGTTTTAAGGCCTGAGGTGCTCTCATAGGAACATAATAATAAAAATGTTTATTCATTTATAAGTAGCGAAAAGATACAGAGTGTCAATTGATACAAAATCAAATGATACCAAAAAACTTAATGAGATGTGACTGATAATGAACAAAAAATCTACAAAAGCTGATATTATCAGCTTGTGTGTGGTATCATAGTTTTATTTTGTGGTTGAGGAATCAAATGAATAGAGTCAAAATGATGGAAAAAAAACAAGAGAAAAAGTGAGATTACAAATTGACCAGAAGAATGTAATTTCAACTAGGTTGAGATTTTCAGATATAGCTTATTTATAAAAAGAGTAGTAGACCAAAGCTGGAACAAAAATGGCCTAAGAAAACAAAAATAGTAATATAACAATAGCCAAAATTTCATAAAAATGAAATTACTATTCAAGATAATAAAACAATAAGAAAAATATACCAATTGAAACTACCATTTGTTGTGAAGTAAGTATTAATATTACAAAAAAAATCGTTTCAAAACTTATAATATGTCAATGAATTGTTCACGCAACCACCAGATTTAGGAAAGTATAACTCTTGTTGATGTGATGATGGCATGCCTCAGATTTCCACAAAAAAAGTATGAAACGATTGTCTAAAGTAATTATTGTAGTTAGCCTCAACTCAATTGGTAATGGTAACTTTTTCGACCTAGTGGATGGAGTAGGAATAATCTAGAAATATTTTGCTGAGTTTTTTTCTGGTCAACAGCTAATGTCAAATGAAATATTTGTTTTACATCTAAGATATTGCCAAACTTGAAAAGGTCATTTGATGGGTAGGTAATTGGTTTTCTGAATATTATTTTCAAAATCTATTTTTGAATTATCTCAACATTTTTTTATAATATTATTATAGGCCCCTCCCCAAGCTATTATGCCATATCTCAGTTGGGATTCCACTAATGCACAATACAGCATCAAAAGATGTTTTTCTTCCAGAATGTTCCTCAAGTATTTGAATTTAGACAATAGGCTTCTAATTGTTTGTACTAACTTCCTAATGTCTATGTTTCATTTTAGATGAGTGTCTATCATTACACCGAGATACTCTATTTCTGTAGCTTGTGCAATTTTCATGATGTTGTTTTCACATCTAATTTCAAGGGGTTAGAGATTGGGTAAGTTTTTGTTAATCACTGAAAAGGGTAGAAATTTTGTTGGTTGAACACAATCTGTACTGCACTCCTTCAACCTCCTTTCTTTATAATTTAAAATATTCTACTCTCATTTTGACAACCCTTGTATATACTTTATAATTGGTATCAAAGTATAGAGTTTGACCTTCAAATCTATTAGTATTAACTAGTTGAGAATACTTGAAATAATGAACAGACTAATGGAACTTCATTATAAATGAATAATAAATGTTCCAAATTGTTTAAAATATTGAGAAGAACAAAATCCAAACTGGTAAGCTGTGGTCAAATGGAACCTGAACTACCAAACGTTTCGGCACTGCAGCAGATATCATCATCAGTGGTAAATGCGTTGACTGTGACGAGTCACTCCATGCTGAAACTTCAGAGCTGAGTGTTCAGATAATGCGAATTATTTTGTTAATAATTTCAAGGTTTCTATTTACAGGTCAATGTGATATCTAATCAAATGACGAATTTGATATTTCTATTGGTTTGCACTTACCGTTTTTACTTATATTTGGTGAGGACTTCGTTTCTACAGCAACAATCTGTTTATCTTGATTCTCTGCGCAATTTTCCTCTTGAACAACTTGCTTGAGGACAGATTCTATGGCATCTGTCACACTGCTAATACTCATTGGTACCTTGTTTTCCTTCAAAGAATCTTTTTCCATATTTTCTAGAATAAAATGAAACGTCATTATGAAATGAACTGTACAATTTTTTTGAGAAAGATATTGCTGAATGAGACCTTGATTTCATTGCGATGAATAGCCTGATTGGGTCTGAACAAACGAATCAAGATATTGTTCTGAAATTGTTGACATCGGTACATGACACTACATTTTTGCATACTTTGGAAATTTATCTGCTTTTCATCAATTATATAGTGCTTTCGATTCCTCAGTCATATATTTCCGTTCTCGAAGTCGCATGTTGAAAAGTAAGACCTCGTTAAACATTATCTCGCACAAGTTTCAACTTCTGAGTGTTATTGTTCGCAAGGAGGCAACAACTGGTTAACAAAAAAATGGATTTTTAATTTGGTTGATTATTCACCAAGAAAATTTCGTGTGGAAATCAAACCATAACTTCTAAAATCAAATAATAATTATAATAATAAGATGTCGAAGTCGGGAAAATTTTAATGTAAAAGGGTATCATTTTCAGTACTTCTTGATGAAAATGACTGTATTGTTGCATTACTCGTCGTCAGAAGAGTGCTACCATAATTTTTTATGGAAAGGGGGACATTGTGGTGTCTCATTTGAAAGGTATCTCAATTTTCAATCCAATACTTTTTCATTTATGTAAGTCGGATTACCCTTTCCCGTTTAAAGAACCTGCAATCAATATCTTTATCTTGGACCAAAAATGTTTAATAAATTAGAAGAATCAATTAAAATATCACCAAATCTTAACATTTTCAAATCAAGACTGAAAAAGGCACTTATTGAAAAAAATTGCTACACACTTGACGAATTTTAAACTGTTTTTTTATATTTTAATGACAAAATATCACAACTATGTGATAAAATTGACTTCCATTTATTTATAGTTATTTTTTTACATAATCTAAGCCAAACAAATAATTATATGTATATACCTATATGTATCATATTTTTAGATTATTGATTACTACAAACATTATACTCTGTAACGTGTCCTACCCTCAGACGTTTTCCTTGTCACTGTACGTATAACAATGTACTTTTTAACAAGGAAATAATAAAAAATTATTATTATTATTATAATAGATAAATATCATGATTTCGAATACAAATGTATTCAAAATGTTTACCATGCGCTCCCTCACAAACACGAAACTGTTCGGGGAAGAAATTCAGTGGGTAATTTCGCTGCAGTCCTTCTTTTTCTATCCAAGAGGTCCGAAAATGAACTGCAGTTGTGTATGGTATACTTCAGATATCATGAATCCCCTCAAAAACATCTAGAGGCGTCACATCAGGTGATCTAGTGGGGTCTTCTAAAGGATCATGGCTGCTTGTCTAGCGGTTTGGATAATTTATAAACCCAAATGAGTTTTCAACTGATGTCATATTTCAGCATGTTAAGTCTGGCTTGGAAGTGGCTAGATGACAATTATCCAAACACATGTGCTTCCTCATAATGATCTGCTAGATTACCTGATAATGACGCTTTTAGATTAATTTTGGGGATTCGTGAAATGTAAAGTATACGTTACAAAATCCTAGTTCTTCAAAGTATGTTACACAACCGTAGTCCTTTCCAAAGCTCATAAGTAGAATGGGGAATGTTCCTCAATTTGGGTTATTACAGCAAATGCAAGTTTGAACAAAATAGAGTTACGTTTAAGTCATGACTTTTTCAAATTCACTTCGAAAAGTACTCAAATTGATGTTTCAAATGTTGGGCTTCAATTATTGAAGGGATTTGTTTCTAGTTCACATTTTGGCAACAGCGCCTATACCAAGTTGAAATAATTTATACATACCTGGATATTCTACTTCAAAGAAGGAAAAGTATCTTTATAAATCAACAATTAAGGCAAAATATAAATTATAGTTCAATACCATCTCCACAAGCCACACAACAACAGTTGTTTTGTTATTTATTTATATAGAGGAAGATAGGTTAGGTGCACAAAATGTCATATGTCACAGAATGTCTCGGAACTCGGAACATAAGTAAACAGAACAGCACGCCTCTGAAATATGTCATCTTTGTTTGTCTCATACAGATAACAGATTCATTGTCCTTTATTAGCTATAACCAATGTTGCCAAATGGTGAAATGGAAATGAATCTCTTTAAATAATATAATGTTTCTTGAGAATAAAGCATCACTATCAGTAAATGCTGAATGCATTATTTCATTCCTCTTTTTTAAGTATTTAAATAATTTTTTAAAGAAAAAGGTTGAAATAAGTTTAAAATGCGTTGTTTTAGAGCTCTTTTATGAAAACTACTTGATTTTCGTCAGGAGGAACATTACCCCAGGAACATTTCACAATGTAAAAAATTAATTGGCTTAGAAACTTCGTTATTGTCAGGAAGTGAATGATGAACGTTTCAAAAATATTCAGTAAACTGAAAGTGAATTTAGAATACTTTTTTTTTCAAATAATGATACTTTGTTTGTTTGCAGATCCTCAAAGGGAATATAAAAGTGCTGATTACTCAGGATCGTCTGACTCGATTTCCAAACATAAAAACGCGCAGATTGAATAATTGAAATACATATCAAACAAGGTATTAAAAGACCCCCCTTACGTTCAAAACAAAAGTTGGTAGCGCCATCTCGGTGACAAGGGAAGCAATGACATTGTTTTTCTTATCAAAAACTACTAAAAATGATACCACGGAATCAAAAAGTGATAAAAAAATATTCCTGGTGTATCAGAATCAGTATTGAAGAACTATTTGAACTATTCACAATACAATATTTGTTTTGTTTGTTTTTGTATTAATTAGACCAATTCTGAAATAGCTCCTTTTGAAGTTATATATTTATATATGAATATTTGTTATATAATTCCCTGTATAAACCATAATAGGTTCTTGAGAGTGAATACATGTTTGAGAAGGCTGAAAAAATATTTTTTTTTCAAAAATGCTGTTTTCAAAAAATTTTGTCAATTGCTAAAAACAGAATCCATCCACTCATTAAATCAATGATGAGGATAATCAAACAAAATCAATAATGAATGCTACCTTCAATTTCTTTCAATTCTTCAGGAACAGTCATATTGAGATCTTCGCGCTTTTCTCGCAACAGATCCTTGACAGTCTTTTTAAGAGGGTCTATAGGTCGCCTCTTCTTCACTTGGATCTTATTAGCACTGAACAGTTTTTTCTTGATTGCCTGTTGCATTGTATTTTTGGGTGCTTGAAGTTTCACTTTCTGAGGAAAAACAAACATGTGTCTAAAAGTTTTAGGTATATCATGAATCTACATACCTTTTCTGTATGAGTTGTAGTGCCGGTTTCACTGTCACTTTCACCAGAAGTTTCCAGTATTCTCTAAAATTAAAAAAACAATCATTGCATACAAAGTTTTTGTAGGAAAAACTGGGAGTTACAAAGGGAGATGTCATACAAACTGAATATTACTACTTCAAATGATCATATTTAATCTAAACGAAACTCAAACTGACTGAATTTCATGTAGGGAGAAAAATAGTTGGTACTTTCACATACCTTTCGATTTGTTTTCGGTTGATTTCCCTCTTCATCCTCTGAAGATGAAGATGACGAAGAAATTTGAGAACTTGCTTCGTCGTCAGTCTTGAATTCGAGGGCGCCACAATTGATGTAGAAACCCCCATGGAGAGTTGTTACATTTTGAGGAATAATCTCGTCATAACCATCTGTATTGTCGATGAAAGAATCCGATTCATCATAGCCCATGCCGATATCGGCATAATCATCTTTCCTGCCTTTCCGTTTCTTCTTGCCATCAGTCATTCCGGTGCCCTGCACAATATTAACAGAATTGAATAGGAATCACAATCACAGCAACATTACATCTAAGAGCATGCCACGGTAAACAGAATTAAAGAAAATAGTGTCAGGTTCAATTGACTGAATCAATATGGGAACTTGAAGACGAGTCTTTGTATGAATTGAAATATTAAAAGTATTTGTATGAATTAAAATATTAAAATAAATGAAGTGGTCTGGCGGTAGTTGTTTGAAAACTCCCACTGTATTAGAAAGTACACAATGTATAAAGTATATGTTTGAAGTTTGAAGACGCTGCGTTGTTTAGTATTTGTTTGGCAGCTGTCAATAGCGAACGATTTTGGTGAATTTGTGATAATGGAGAAAATTAGTTATCGTTATGTGGTAGAATACTTTTATTTGAAAGGCCTCAGCTCGACCAATATATAAGCTGAACCGAATTCTATTCTAGGTGAGTCTGCTCTTTCCTTTACAACAGTAAAATATTGGCTAACAGAGTTTAAACGAGGCCCCTCGAGCTGCCAATCTTTCATACACTACACTTTTCTTGGGCGTAAAGTATGTCTCCAACTCCTGAAGCACAGTTTTATAGACCTTCTTCTGATCATCAGTTAACTTCAATGCAATAAAGATCTCTTTCCCTTTCTCAGCTATGAGATTTAATAGGGTAGCAATCTCAATTTTATCTCTCTTATCATCTTTTCCACTTCCAAGAGGTAGATTTGAACCTTTTGAAATTCTCTGCGATGTTTTCCTTAAATGACAAGAGAGACGAAAGTTTTACACCCATCTTAATCTGCTCTTTTTTCTTTGTTGCATAAAGCGTTTAATTTATTGACCTATTTGATTTCTACACAATTGCACCATATTTTATAGTGGTTTGATAAGGAAATGTCGCTTATCAATTACTCAGTTACTTTCAATAAATCTGAACATAACTACTTGAATACATACAGAGGTTCCAAAACTATTCACGAGACACATTCAATTTCAACTAACAACAGATGTCAGTTACTCACATATTTTGCTTCCATTTCGAGTGCAATTCTTCTGACGTCATCATCGGTCTCTCCAAATGGGTCCAAGCCATTTTCCACATTTTCAACATTATTGGAGTCCTTGCCCTGTCTCGACTTTTTCTGAAAATTATATAATAAGAATAAATAAAAAACTAATGTGCATTTTTAATAAATAACAAAAGTCCTCGCAAAAATCTGAATTCATGAAAAAGCAACTGTATGTGGCTATGTTATTAATAAAATTTAATCAATTCACTTAATTCCTATTGTGGATATGATTTTGTTTGTTTGGTGGAACTGCGGGACAATACAGTTATTACTATTACTACTGATGAATACTCTACGCTAATTCAATCGTTCAATTTAAAATCTCTATAGCCAGAATACGTTTATGAACGATTCAGAGTAGAATCATCGTTCTTCGCATATATTTATTAACGTAACTTTTCCATCTCAGTGAATCCTCTAGCCCAGCGCAAATCCCCGCCCATGGCGGCAGAGCATGCCTCGCCTGCTAACCTCCATTCACTACCGCTTCACGTTTCTGCTTTCCTGATACTTGCGCGCCCAAATGCAATCCCAACAATGAAAAAAATAAACAAGTAAATAAGAAAAAATAATTAATTGTTGAATCGGAAAACTGTTCTGAAAAGATCACAATTATTGTTAGACGAATATTTTGTAATTTTCGGCCGTTTTGCCAAAAAGTACCCAGTATACAAAACTCGCCTTTATCCCACCAGCACCGTGCTGCTCAGATTCGCGTTACAGTCACTTTGTTGATTCAACAAACACGAGTTCCGCTTTAAACAAATTAGCTTCAACATAAAAATCTTACCTACTATTGCAGGCGTATTTCAAAATTAGTGTTTAATTCAGTTAGTCACTGCCGGTTAAATAGAAATTAATGAAATGTTGAATACTTTTCTAATCATAATTAATTATTCATCTGTCTTCAGCTCTTCAGAATTATCCCTGCAGGAAAACCAAATGTTGAAATATTTTATGACATGATTATCGAGAGCACATTAAAAAACCTGAGATCGCCTAGAAGTTTAACACGTTGTGTGAATTAGTTATTTTTAATGCTGTTTTGATTCCATAAACCAGGCATAATTTAAGCTGCAAAACCCACCTCTTATGTTCACTAGTATATGTGCTATATGAGTAATGTTAATATCTAGGAGAATGCAATCTAATAATCACAAACTTATAATATTTAAGTATCAAGTACTAAGTGAATTCAGCACCCAAGTTTATGTTTTGTATATACTTTTTAGAAGTTTGCGATCCTTCCTCTGCACAATTATCGCTATGAAAAGCTTGGCAACGTTGCGGAAAAATGGTTTATTGTAAAATACAGAGCCAACTGATAAACTATTCTTAAATTTCCCCACGTTAACAAAATTTGATCGAAAAACAAGAATCCAAGAGAAGTCATCTAATTGTAGGACTTGCATCGGTTGCGTCACAGAGGAGTAGGGATTGCAAACATTGCAGTGCATTGCATTTCTAGGTTCAGACACGAATAAAAGGACATATAAACGTGATCGATTTCACAGAAAAGCCCTGGGAGGTAGTTTCTAGGCAAAACCAGAGAAAATGATCAGTTTGGAGGGATATATAAGTACCCCAAAACAATACATATCTGGTCAGTGTTTGAGAGTACTGTAAGACGAAAATGTTAATTTTTTTTAGCTAAATCTAACTTAAATATGGCGACGTAAATGCTAGCCACCTAATTAAAGTGGATTTTGAGACTTTCAAGTAACAAAAAGCATTGAAATTGTACAAGAGGCCGTGACTTCCTCAAGAATTTTTATCTTGACAGCTGTTTCCAAATTCACTCTCTAGGTCGGGCAGACTCAAATGTCAATTATTTCGAACTCCCGTTTTATCAGAAATACAATTCGTAACCATTTTCTCTCATAAGTTACCTCTATAGCTTCTACTTGGTCCTTATAGTTATATTCAGGGCAGTTGTCCTCATTAGATTCGGGTAAAATCACAGATATCCTTAGTGTTTTGCACTGATTTTTGGTTGATTTATCACTCACTTTCTGCGTCTGAAAAGTAGTTAATGCCACGCGTTTTATTTCTGACATATTTCATTACAAATTTCTATTAAAACAACACAACCCGGTTTCGCTCCAACATGTTTAAAATGCACTAAACTCAAACAAGCACTCCACTGTGTAATTCAGAACTTGGCGCAGATATTTGCGCATTGCATGGCTCACGCCGAATATGCAGGAAATGCCGTTTGCGGTTGAAGCACGAGATAAAAGTGAACTGAAGTGTAGCTATTCACCAACAGAGAACACCACTTACTCGGGGAGATTTTTCCCTGTAAATATTTGAAGAAAGGGTTCATTTTTATTAATTGCAGGAAAATATAATTTTATTCTATCATAACTTGTCGCCAACTTATCAACTAGAAACCGCAAAATACTGTAATTATAATATTGCTGATCAATTTGGTAGTCCAATTAAAGAATACAAAGTTCATAGAAGCTCAAGTGGCATTTTCGTGTTACATGGTGTTACGTAAAATTTTTAGTACTTAACATGACCGCCAGGGGACGATGGCAGTACGATGTCTGTAAATATAATTGGATAGCTAGGCTAGCACCTTTGCATAAAGAGTCTATATACAAAGCTAGCACTGCAGTCGGCCAGATCATATCAAAGTCGGGATGTACGCCAAAATTGGATTGAATTAAAAAGCCGACTGGTTTGTCAGGTACTGCTACCCAGTTCTGTTGGTAATTACATTGAATACTGACATCGTACTGCTTTCGCCCTCTGGTGGTCACGGCAAATGCTACACCAGTACAGAAATGCTGTTAGCATCATCATAAGGTGAGTAAAATTACTGTACGATCGTAATAATACAACTATACAACTGGGTGTGATTTTTTTCAAAACCTAATTTTTTTTTCAAATAGCATCGTATAATGATACTGAATTTGAATTTGAAAGGAAGCGAAAATTAATCCGCATTGACTTGCTCACAAAAATACGTTTTATCTTTGTATATGTCTGTATATAAAGATTTTATCATCATCAAGGTATTCCAAAGAAAGCCTATAGAAAAGAATAAATACGATTTTAGTGTATCATAAAATTTATAGTACTTACCCTGACCACCAGAGAGAGATAGCAGTACGATATTGGTATTTAATGTGGTTACCAACAGAATTGGGTAGCAGTCGCTGACAACCTTTCAATTTAATTCAATTTTGGATTCAAACTTCCATATTATGATCCGGCCGACTGGTTGTTAGCGACTGCTACCCAGTAATTCTGTTGGTAACGACATCAAATAAGGGCATCGTAATGCTATCGCTAACTGGTGGTCAGGGTTAGGTACTATAACGAGCTTCCATCATTGTCTATTAGACAATTTCTATGGGTTTTGTCTTTGCATATAGACTACCTTTTTTGTTTCAAACGTAGATGTCACTGAAAGCCAGAAATCTGATAGTTCGTCCTCTCATGAATACATGGAAGAACACAAGCATAGTTTTTGTCTGAAATCTTCAAGATACTTGTATAAGCTGAAGATCACTTGGGTATTACCTTTCAACTTTCGATTTCTATCACGGATTTGGCGATACACCGTGAACACACTCCTGCAGTAAAAATATATCATGAACCTGAGTCTCGTGAATCAGTTATGTTGAAAAAATACATCTAGAAATATTAACTTGAAATTATTCAATTATAGGTTGATATCACATAATTTCGAAAAGTGAATATCAAGAATACCTCTGAACATTGAGAGGAATGAGTATTTACCTACTTGCGATACGGATATTATATTAAAAATAGTGGCGCTCCAGATGTCGTTGACTTTACTTGTGATTTGCTACGAGAATGAAGATTTTTAAATACAATATATGAATAACGTCAACTTCGTTGAAAACCGAAAGATTCTGACAGTTTCCAACTGGATCAATTGAATTTTGTACGGGTGCAGGCCCAAGTCACGACGCGACATTCACCAAGTTGTGGTCTGCGAAAGGCTGAGACTTTGTGTGCGACACGAAATCGACTGCCTCGGGTTCTCCTGCACACTCTCACAGATACAGGAGATATTTTCGGCAGATTTTACGTTTCGTCGATGTACGGGCGTTGAACCAGTGGATTCAAATTTATCACCACATTGCGAATAAATGTAGCGATGTGCCGAGTATGGTTTGACTCGAATCAGACTCGATTCCTGCTTTAGAACTCGCCTACTCGAATACCAATTTATTTTGATTCGAGTACGCCGGACTCGATTCCGGTACTTTATTCAGGAAGAATTAATTCGTACTCGCTAACACTATTCTATTTATGCGAGTCCAACTGACTCGAGTCTCGTATTTGAATTTGGTTAACTCGCTCGTACTAGCGTTGCCAACCGTACTATTTAAATCGTATTTATACGACTTTTTGACTTTGATACAGTCGCCAGCAGGTCAAGCTATACAAATCTGTCAAATTTCTGTAATCGATTTTGAACTTTATATCGAAATAATAAGGTTGGTTTCCGTTTGGGACAATTTGACAGTTTGGGGTAACTTAATGGGCTGCCCACCGTCGATATAAAGAATCAATAACAATCTACAGTTGTTTTTTTTCATAATGCACTCATCCATCCATTTTTGAACTTGAACGAGCTTTAAACTTTTTTTTCGTATCTTCAAGAACGCATCCAATATTTTTAAAACTCCATAGCTTATCGATGATACCGGAGTTCTCCACGAAATTTAACTCTTACTTCGAGGTTATGTTACGTCATTATAATACAAACGATATAAGATCGCTCTAGGACAGGGGTCTCCAAACTTTGAAGCCTTCGGGCCAGAATAATTTTTTCAGTTTGTTCCAAGGGCCAATTTCTGCCCTTAACTATATTTCTAGACTAGGATAGTCGCAAAGTGCGTGACCTAAGCAAACTTACGCTTTTTTTGCATTTCAATTATTATTGTGTATTGTGACACTTAACGACATCTAGTGGCGAGTAGTGGTACTATGTACTATCTTTTTCAGCTACCCGCTAGGTGGCATTAGGCGTAAATAAATATTTGGAATTACCGCGTTGGTTCGAGAAAGTTCTGGTTCTAGCTAGTGTAGTCCGATCACCTCGAGATGGCAGTAATAATTGCATATAAAAAGGCTATCGGTGCAACTGTGAGTTAGTCTGCGTAGGAAAGGCGAAGGAAGCGAAACTATCTATTGTGAAACAAAGTAACACCCGTTAAAAAAAGTATTTTGATTTGACTTATTGTTTTTATGTGTGATTTATTAGTATGGAAAAGAAGCGAAAAATCGACGGTGAATGCAGAACGTTCCAAGAAAAATGGAACTTTCAGTATTTTGTGATTGAGTCCAGTAATAAGGCGCTATGTTTAAAAAACCAATAAATAGAGTTTATTCTATGATTTTCACTATAAGGGTTTTACAAAAACTTGAAGAAGCTATTGTATAGCGAAACACGTGTCGCGGTTTTTGTAAAACCCTTATAGTGAAGATCATAGAATAAACTCTATTTATTAGTTTTTTAAATATAGATTTTCATCAAGTATCGGCCAGTTCTATTCAATCGCTATGTAGACCGTCGCGTCGGTGTAGTTTCTCACATTAATAAGAGGTTTTGGTATATCTTTTATGATACAGAATGTGATTTGAAACCAAAATAATATGCAGCACTTGATTATTATTTTTTTTTTCTGGACTCCGATAAAATTTTCCAACAGTATCCGCACCCCACCTAAAACTACTTGCCGGTCACTGCTTTAAGAATTTTCAGATAAAAAATGTCCTGAATATCACACCGACAAATTTCTGACTGACAAGACTGATGAGGTGATCGAACAAACTTATTAAAGTCTTGATTTGAATTGATGTCGAAAAAATGAAGTAATAATGACAAGTGAGAACAGACGAGCCGCCTCAATCCAAACGTGTTCTTCATTATCGAGAAAAGTCGACGGGTTGCTTATATGGAACGTGACGGAAAATGGCATTTCGTGTTGCCAAATCGAACTCGAGTTTGCGACCTGGAAAGCAAATGAAATTACCGAAGTAAATGTCTGCTGTTTTCTCTGTATTTTGTTCATCGTTTGAAAGTTCGGTTATTTGATATTCAATAGAGCACAAATGATGGGCTAACATTCCCTTTAGCCCCCACGAAATAGTTTAATAATATTAAAGAGCCACCGGTAGATAGCTGTTTCAGCCTATTGGGCATCGTCAGTACCGGGCAGGCGGTCCTCGATTGAAGACAAAATGAGAAAAAACCAAGATAAAAATAGCAAAACATAAGTGGAACCACCTATTGGTGTGACACCCAAGTCAACTTGCCAAGTTGATTGGTCAAACCACCAACACTGACATGAAAAACTTGGCAAGTTCAATCGAGGACCGCCTGCCCGGTATTGACGATGCCCAATAGGCTGAAACAGCTTTCTACCGGTGGCTCTTAAGTTGAAATCAATGTGGGAATGATCAAAAATTACTTATCTATTTATTTTTTGATTTTCATGGAATTATTTTCCAGCAGCTTGACTGCTTGACTTACAACAAAATTTATTAAATGGTCAAAAATACTGATTGCGCATATAAGCAGAAGTAAAAAAAAATATGGGTCTTTTTTGGCACCCCGAAAAAAAATCATAATACAAAAAAATTGGAATCAGTACATGGCCTCCACGCTGGTTTATTACGGCCCTACATCTATCGTGCATCGACAAAATGAGATTGTCAATGTCTTGTTGAGGTACATTTGCCCATTCAGCGATTAAAAGCTCTCTCAATTGAAACGTTGTGTGAATGTTCCCCATATGCGGAGTAATTCTTCGTTGAAGCATGTCCCACACATGCTCGATGGGATTCAGGTCCGGTGATTGTGCTGGCCATGGCAATACATCAACTCCTTCGTTGGTGAGCCAGTCAGTCACTAGACGCGCGACATGTGAACGAGCATTATCGTGCATTAGGTGGAAGTTTTCACCAACAGCACCAGCAAACGGACGGACCATAGGTAGAAGAATGGTGTCGAGGTACTGTCGAGCTGTGAGGGAGCGATTTGGAAAAACGAGATCGGTTCTGCCGCCGATCATGATTCCGCCCCATAGCATGACTGTACCACCTCTGTATGTGTGGACTTCCTGGACGTGTCTCAAACGTTCATTATTTC